GCTCAGTGAGTACGATGAAGGGTTGTGTTGCTCCCTCCAGCGTCGCCACTACTCGAGAGCTGGCTTCATGGCCAGAAGTTTGCAATTGTCCACGTCGTAATTACGCTCAGCGGGGTCAACTTTAGGGAGAAGAAAGCACATGGGTACATTTTTGCTGGATTACCTTGGCATTGGGATAGAATAGCACCTACTCCTGTGTTGGAGGCATCGATTTCCACTATGAATTGGCGTTCAGGATCTGGGTGTCGTAGAATGGGTGCTGATGTGAAGAGAGCTTCGAGTTTGTTGAAGGCTTGATGGGATTCTGTGGAACAGTTCAGACGGGATGTGTGGTGTTTCGTCATGGTAGTTAGTGGAGCTGCAACCATGCTGAACTCTCTAACGAATCAACTGTAGAAATTTGCAAACCCTAGGAAGCGTTGTAATTCTTTCACCGTCTGTGGTAGTGGCCAATCCAAGACTGCCTTGACCTTCTCATCTATGGCTACACCCTCCTGACTGATAATGTATCCTAAGAAAGATGTGCTGGTGTGGTGGCACTCACATTTGTCAGCTTTGGCGTAAAGTTGGTACTGGATGAGGCGTTTTAGGACCAGTCTGACATGATGAATGTGTTCTTCCAAAGAGGTGGAGTAGATCAGGATGTCATCAATGATCCATCTATCCAGCATGTCCCGAAAAACGTAATTCATAAAGGACTGGAAAACGGATGGACCGAACGGCATAACCAAGTATTTGTAGTGCCCACTAGTGGTGGAAAAAGCAGGTTTCCACTCATCACCCTCACGGATACGGATCAGGTTGTAGGTGTTGCAGAGATACAGCTTGGTGGAGTACTTGGCCTGGCGATGATGTTCTAATGCAGCCGGAACAAGGGGTAAGGGATACCGGAACTTGATGGTATTGTTGTTCAGGCCACGGTAATCGATACATGGGCGTAGACCTCCATCCTTCTTTTCAACGAAAAAGAAGCCAGCGGAAGCTAGTGAAGTTGAGGATCTGTCGATCTGATGAAACCTTTGGATAGTTCCTCCTCAATGTAGTGTTTCATGGATTCCATTTCGGGTTGAGACTATGGGAAAATCCTTCCCTTCGGTGGTGTGGTGCTGGGAATGAGATCTATGGTGCAGTCAATCGGGCGATGTTCAGGGAGTTGAGAAGCTTTTTCCTTGCTGAAGTCCAAGCTGAGGTCTGTATACTCAGGTGGCAAGCTTGCTACTTCAGGAACTGATGTCGAGGTCTTTACCGGGGAGAATTCTAGTCCGGAGGTATCTGGAACAGATCTGGGAATCCGAAAAACTCTGGACAGGCAGTGGTCTTGACAGGTGTTATCCCATTGAATGATCTGACCCTCTCGCCAGGAGATGTGGGGGTTATGGGTGCGTAGCCAGGGGAATCCAAGGATGATGGAGTGGTAAGGTGCATGGATGACATAAAATTGGATGGTTTCTGAGTGCAAAGAACCAATGTGCATTTTGACTGACTCTGTGATTCGCTGAATTTTGCCCTCTCCGATGGGTCGACCATCTATCCTCCACTGTTAGGGATAAATGACAGGGAGTTAGTTTCAGTTGGCAGTGTGAGGCAAATTTATGAGAGATGAAGTTCCCAACTGCTCCTGAATCAAGCAGAGCAGAGGTGGGAATGACTTTGTTTTGGATAATCAGATGAACAGGGAGTGTGAAACTGGTAGCTGGGGTGTCAGCTTTGGGGTTGACACTTACCGACTGGGAGTTAGATGAGGGACGAACGAGACTAACAAATTTCATGTGGCTGGATTGACAACAGTAGAGGCACAATCGATTCTGCATGCGATGCTCACGTTCTTCCGGGGTGAGGTGAGTAAACCCCAGCTGCATGGATTCGGGTGCGTTACTGGTGGTCTGGAAGTAGCGAGGCGCTGCTCGAACGGGGCGCTGGGAGTAGATGAGACTGTCCACTGAAATGGCCATGTCGAGGAATTCGTTAAGGCTCCTACCCTCATCTCAACAGGCTGTAATTCAGTGGTCAAACCCTTCCTGTACATGGTTTTCTGGGTGCTTTCTACCCAGTCAGTCTGAGCAGCAAGAGTACGAAAAGTGACAGCGTAATTAGCCCGCAGTTCTCTTGCCTTGTGATAAATCCAGCAGTTGTTCGCCAGCTATAACTCCTACAGTGGGATGTTCAAAGACATTGGGAAATTACTGAAGGAAAGCTCAGAAGGTGGGAAACGACAATCCATCCAGTCTCCAGACCGCTGTAGCCCACTCCAAAGCTCTCCCCGTGAGTAGGGAACAGACAAAGGCGATGGTGTGTTCTTCTTTTAGAGTTAAATTGGTGGTTGGCAAACCAACTTAAGGTGCATTTAGCGCCACCTACCGGACAGGAGCGTGGTCGAGAATAGTCAGAGGGAATTACAAGGGGGTAATCCATCAGCCGGAGGTTGAAGCCTCGTGGGAGCCGCCATTGTAACAGAGCTTCTCCTGCTGTTAGCATCCCATTGACTCCCATTCATTTTGGCATCACTTTGACAGTGAATAACTTTACATCTGAGATGTCCAAAAGATTCCATTTGTCAATTATTTAGTTCTAAAGAAACACAACAATGTATAAAAGGTTCCATTACCTTGTATCTTACGTTATTGCCCCGTAGAAGCAGTTTTTGTAAAAATAGGCTAACGATTGCGTCAAAACGAATCGACTCTCCGTCGCACAATACAGAAATTACCGTATAGACTGAGAAGCTCGCAGGCAATCGGGGGGGCATGGAGGCATAACGTCCGATAAAGTCGAGGGAGAAGCCCATCGAGAGTCATAATAAAGTTGATCCTGCTGCTCCTGGACAGCTAATACTCACTCTCTCTGTCTCTGTGAGATCCGGAAGGGAATTATTCAGATTTCTCTCGGCACAGCGACTAGAAGACATACAGGTTGCTCACGTGACGGCTCAGTTTGAGTCTGCGCAGTACGCCTGGCTATCAGCTTTTAACGGGCTTCAATGTTTTCCGTTGAAATCAATGGGGTCGCTGTGTCCATTTCTTTTACGGTGTATGGGTGGTGCGGAGAAGGCGTTGCGGGAGCCTCTTCTGTAACATTATCACTGTAAAACTGCTTTGAAACAATCTATATTGTTAAACGCGCTTTATAGATGAAGATGATTTGACTTTAATCAAATGTTTTACTTGCTTTTTATTTACGTTTTTTTTTACAGTGTACCTGAACCTGAAGAGCACAGCTCAGATAATCACTGTTTACGCCTGTGAAAAACCACAAGAACACAGTAGCTATTAAGCACAAAATATGTATTTATTCTTAATTAAACTTGTACACAGTCTGTGTCGTGAGTGCGTTGGGATCTGAGCGGAGCAAACTAATGCGGAGAAGGGTGAAGCGATCATTCACAGAGAAAAGAGCGGGAAAAGTCCATAACCATCAGATCGGTGAGACACAAACACGGCAAAGTGGAGTAATTATTGCCAGATATATTATCAGCATTAATAACAGCAAGAACAGAATATCAGAAACGTTTCTCCTGCAGATCATTGATTAGCATCCAATACAAATGCATGAAAAACACATTACAGGACAGAAGCTGCAGCAAAACAAACACTGAGGAAATAAATACTAGAGGACTGTACAATTCACAGTTTGGCAGTTATAAGAGAAATATAACCCTGACTAAAGATTGAATCATACAAACATACAAATAAAACCAGAGTTCATGTTGGGATGTGGATTTTGGATGCTAATACGTGTGAGCTAGTGTTCAAACGCTTGCACTTTCTCATGCTGGATCGCTTTTATGAAAAACAACAATAAAGTCATGACTAACACTTGCACTGTCCTCTTAAAAGACATGAAAACGCAACATCATGAACACTGTGCAAGAAGGAATAAACTCAAAGCAAATAAAAATGTTCCATCTCAAATGTAAAGTAGTTTGTCAAAGTTCACATTACGGGTTGGGATAATGCAGCACGTCACGGGGAGGTCGAATCACATGCAATGTCATCTTGACACACATTCAGAGTCAAACCTGCATTCAGTCCCTGTGTTGCGCTGTAAAGAGGGAAGGCGGCGCACTTATAAGAGCACGTTTACACAGTACTTCTTAATTCTGTGTTTGGGTGTCTGCGACGCTTTGATGGCATGCATCGTTCATCAGATCATCGCAATGGAAACCAGTCGTTCCTCAAATGCGTCTGTGACTCTGTGCTTAGTGCAGTATTGCTTATGAATGATTGTAACCCATCAGAAACCCAGACATCAACCGCATTCGTTCACCAATCTGGATACTACCTACACTTCAATTATTAAGTTTATTCAATGCAAACTCGCTTCAACTGAAAGGGGGCGTAAATTTAAAAAAAATTATGCAAAAAAACACCATTGCATTAGGAACCAATTCATATCTTTGGAGGGAAAACCGATGAGCGATCAAGGCACTACATCATCCTGAATTGTTCTTAAAGTAGGGATTTTGTCCTGTGGTGTGAAATCGCTGGATATTTCTGTAAACGGCCAATGAAAGTGCTGTAAATGAATGAAACGCGTACGATTGGAAAGCAGGACCATAATCAATATTCAGCACTGGGACGCTTTCATAAAACATGAGCAGAATTTCCATTCTTACACAAACCGTCATCAGATTTAGATGAGAACGACTACAATTATTCTGCTCGTGTTTCTGCATCTCGAGGTTTTAGTCAATCAGCAAAATGATTATTGATTATTGAATTCAATTATATTTGAAGGCCTAATCTCAGCCGAAACCTTAACACGCCTTATTCACGGCAGCGCCATCTTTGATTTTTAATGAGATTAAAAGCGAGGCTGTGAAGGATAGACTTGCATCTCTTCAATGGGCTGTACTGTTATTTAATGTGTTTTCGGATCATTCTGCTCATGAAACACTGGAAAAATATCTTTCCAAGAAATTTCAGTTGACAAAAAACTCCCGAGAATGTAAGCTGTGGAAAATTGTAAGTAATCTAGCCGCTTTATTCAGCTTTTTACAGCGGATGCCATTGGAAACACGGTAAGTCTATCCCTCACTTTCATACCTGTCATGGCGCTGCTCTGAATAAGGTCTACACTAACAACTCCTCAATTCATATTCAAACATAAGAGCTAAAAGTTGAAAACAGACAAACGTGCAAGCGGCGCCCACAGGACTGGATTGAGACATCAACACACTCCTCATGCCCACACACACACACCTCATATTTACAGGCTCAAAGGCTTTGTACAGACGCGTCCGTCCACCATCCACGATCTAAAGCACACACACACACGGAGGAGAGATTGTGGTTGATCCTGAAGTTAAAAACGAGTTGAGTCTGCGTGATTATCCGTCTGCATTGATTCGCCTTACGCAGAACACAGTTTGAAGCGCTCATGCAGTCCTGGCTTTGCTGGGGCACATTGGGGCGTCTGGGCTTTTGACCACCAGAGGAAACGTCTGCAGTGCCGGGCTGGCCATGGTCGGATACGGGACCATCACGGCCGTGCCAAACATTCCCACTGGACTGGGCAAACCGGGCCACTGGTGTGGATACACAGGAGCTGGCATCATCCCAGCGAAGGGGGCGGCGGGCATCAGGTATCCGCCCCGCTGGATGACGGGCGCCGGGCCGCTGGTGATGCCGTGAGGACCCAGAGCTGCCGACAGCGGGCAGGACAGGGGTAGATGGAGCTTCACAGCCGCCGCAGGGATTGAGCCTCTCATCTAGAAGAGAAGATCAAATAACTCTGCTTTATGCTTTCTCATGGTTTGTTTATTCGCTTTATATGCTTTAATCAGAGAATTATTAATGTCATTGCGTGATTACGTGATGTTTTACGTTTTTGAACTGGTTCATTGAAACGAACTGTCCAAAAGAACCAGTTCGCGGAACTGACTGCCCGTGACTCGTCAGAACAATAGACTGTAAAAAAATATTGGCCTTAGTGTGTGTGACGTCACCCGTTGGTTTCTGAAAGCAATTTTGAAGCTTAAAGTGGGCGGAGCCGGCCGTCGCCATCTTGGCAGCGCGTCATTCCCGGATTAACGAAGGCGAGGCTGATTAGCTGAGGTGTCGTGACGCTAGTAGTGACATCAGCGGCAATCCACCTGTCACTCAAGTGGCCACACCCTTAATTATGCAGAACTTTAAGACTTAATATAATTTAAACAGATGAGTTTAGATGAGAAATCCCCCCCCTCACAGTCGTCATGAAGGGTAAATTTAGCCATATAGACCAAAACCACTTTTTGCACCAGGTTGTAAACATATTTGTTTCTGCTGTAAATTTGGGCATTTTAACATGGGCATCTGTGGCATTGACTCTCTTTTGCAGCGTCTCTCTAGTGGCCAGTCGATGAATTGCAGTTTAAGTCAAGTCAAGTCACATTTATTTATATAGCGCTTTTCACAATACAGATTGTATCAAAGCAGCTTCACAGTGATAACATGAAAGTAGTACAACACAGATCAATAATATTGTTTAAGTCACTTCCATGTTGGATTCAAGAGAGAGACCGGAAGGTTGCCGCTTGGTTAGAACGTAACACAAGTACGTTTTCCATTCTCAGCACTGAATACTTGATTTCAAGAAAATTTAAAGAAAATAGTGTAGAGATGTATGAAACCCTAAGCAGCTTTCTCTTGATCAGTGTGGTGAATTTGCGTGAACATGAACTGTATCAACATGGCAAGCTTTTTCCCAAATAGCTGGATATCGGTATTGAAATTTTGCAGAGCAATGGTAAATGTGACCACACTGGCCTTAAAAAATTCCCTTAGAGTTCCCTCATATTCTCCATTGTTGCGGCTCCTCTCTTCCCAGTCTGTCAGTAACGCTCGGTTTACTTCCTGTCTCTATGAAGCCCCTCCTTCTGAAAAGCACACTATGCTCTGATTGGTCGGCTGGAGCAGTGTGTTGTGATTGGTCGAGTGCTTCGAGTGTGTTTGGGAAATGCCCCGCCCCTTTCCATAACATCCAGTTTAACACACTACTAACTCACTCACCCAGGCCCCGCCCCTTTATTTTGCGTATAAATTGTTTAAATGAGGAATATTGTGATGTGTTTGTTCCCGTAAGAAACTCAAGACTACAATGGAGGCGTTCCAGGAGTTCAGAAACACTGACACTGATATAAAGAAGAACAGGAGCTTTGCAGAGCTTTTTCATGATCAAACAGAAACATTATTCACTATAGAAAGATGAACATGAAGAAAATAAAAAAATCCTTAAAGATTCTGGATGACAAACCTCATATGGTACCTGATTGGGGACTCTGGCCATTGCGGTGTGGCTGGTCTGGAAGGACTGATGCGATCTCTGCGGTCTGATCTGACACACAGAGGGGCGGAGCTGAGGGGCGGAGGCAAGAGTCTCTTTCGCCCAATCATCAACCAGCTTGTGTAGGTCGTCAGTGAATGTGCCAGTCTTGTTGTTGCTGTTGTTGGCTTGAGCCTGGACGAGCGCCGTGATTGGCCGAGGCGATGAAGACGGCACGGCTGCGGATGATGATGATGATGAAGCTCCAGCGTTATGAGACCCTGAGAAAGACACAGAGAAAGACCTCAAGCTCAGAGAATTCACCCTGAAGTCTTCTGTAACCAATCCGCTGCTTACTGACAGATAATGAGATTTGTCAGGGAAGTGTAGCTAATATCATGGTTGATCATTACGCATTACTAGAGGTGTAATTTTTTACTTCGATAATTACTTGATTCAAAACCAATTTTTTAATTGGTACAATTTGAATTAACCATTCAAAAGTTTGAGGTCGGACCTTTGAATAACACTTGGTTCAAGAGTCACAGATATCCATCAACCCCTTGCTTACTGGGGTTTGTTCCCAATGAGAGAACAGACACTGGGTATACTTGAAATGTATTGATGGATCTGATTGTATCTTTGTGTGTTTCTTGTTGTGCACTTGTTTCTAGACTAAAATCGCGCAGCTGGATGATTACAGAACCAAACAAAGAACAAAGCAATACACAAATGCACTTAAATGACCAGGAATACAGAAATCATAGAGGTTTCAATAAGCACTTGACTGCATTAACCATGCACTAGAAAAAAGACAATTCAAACGAATATAAAGAATCAGTGCACATTTCACAATCTTCTGTCGCAAATGGCAAGCACTTAACACACAGGCAATCGCTCATGCCAACGAAAAACAGAAAGAAAGAAAGAAAGAAAGAAAGAGGGACTGGGGCGTAGAAGAAAGGAGTGGGATATTTACTACTGTTGCGCTCTTTCCCTAGACATAGTCGTTTCAGAGTGGACCCTACAAGAGCAAAACAGCAAAGACAGAGACGTTAGGGGGCGGAGAAAAGCACACGGCACAGCCCATTGGACAAGCTGCTGCACAAGAAAACATAGCGACCAATCAGTGAACAGATACAGAATCAGGTGCAGGGAGGCTTCATCTGTGATCTCATGAGGTGTCGGTGGGTGACATGTTTGAATGGCTCATGAGCTAAAAAAAGGCATTATGTGCAGACAACCTTCAAGCCTGGACCCTGAATGAGGTCCAACACTTTTGTTTGACTAAAATGTCCTACTTTAAAGACCCCATGAAATGATTTGATGGGCACAACAACATTCTTTCCTAATTAGGTCGTATTGAAACAGGATGTTGGTTTGGCCAAAGTCATGGCTGATCATACGGTGGATGGACTTCTAACCACCAGCTTCACCTTCATTTAAGATCCAGTGGCAGCTGTCAAAACATTTTTTTGTGTTGGCTTTAGATTTGGAAATGTAGTGTTTATAATTAAGGGCAACTTTCTTATCCTCTACTCATGGTCATATTGGAATGATACAAACAGTCATTTGAATTCTATGGTTGTATGTATCAGGACATAAAATATCATCTGGTTTTTAGCAGACCTTAAAATTAAGTAAATAAAACCTCAGATGAACAACACATGACAATGTTTTAAAAAAATGGAGAAGGCATGTGTAATAAAACTAAGTACACCCCATGATTCCGTAGCTTCTAAAACGCCTCAGTAAGGTATGTAACCCTCGTTCCCGGAGATGTTACATCGACGTCATCGATGTAATTGGGATCACTTCAGGGAGACTCTTGGATAACATTGGGGAAGCGTGCCCTTCCAGAGGAGAGGAACACTGCGGAGACCACATCCTGCCCGTAGGGAGGTATAATGTTGGACTGGCCGACAGGGCAGTGCAATATATGAAGTGTCACTGGGGTGGCTCCAGCCTATATAGTGGGAGACAACACCGGACAGTGACGGCAGAGCGGATTCTGCCAAGGGAAAGACACGGGCTCAACGCAGGGAGCCGTACCGTGCAGGTTCACCACCTGGTCCTGAAAGGGAGTGGTAGGAACCTTGGGCAAATATCAAAGCCAGGGTCCCAGAATAACGTGAGATTAGGCCAGCCTGAATTCAAGGCATGATTTGTCAACCGAAAATGTGTGGAGGTCCCCTACCCTCTTGATAGAGGACAATACAACCATGAGTCATGTTTTCCAAGACAGCATTTTTAATTCTGCTGATTGCAAAGGCTAGATGGGCACTCTCTGCAGTGCCATAAACACCAGAGAGAAGTCCCAAGAGGGGATCGAGTGAGGGCAAGGAGGATTTAGTCTTCTCGCTGATGATCAGGTCGTGCTTTCCCAGCGACATACCTTCAATACTGATTGCGGCAGCATACACTTTGAGGATGGAAGGAGACAGCCTTCGCTCCAACCCATCTTGGAAGGAAAGAAAGCAGGAAGGAAAGTACTGATCTGATCAAGCAAGTTCTGGGGATCTTCTGTTAGGAAGAACACCACTCAATGAACAGGTTCCACTTCAGGCTCTAGCGGAAGTGTCTACCACCGCCTAGGGTAGGCCTAGAACCTCCACATCCGTCCAGGGACCAGACATGGAGTTTCCAGAGGTCTGGATGCGGGTGCCATATGTTACCCCGTCTCTGAGCAAGTAGGTCCTTCCTAAGAAAAATGGGCCAAAGAGGGGCTGTCGCGAGGAGCATCAGTTATTTGGACCAGGTCCGGTTGGGCCAGTAAGGCGCAACTGGCAAGACCTTCATTCACAGAAGACTGAGGCTCCCTCTTTGATGCTGCGATTGACATCTGATTGTCAGCAGGAGCCCCGAAGGAAATGGCTGGTCGTCCATGAGAAGGACCAACAAGCTACAACGGAAGCTCCACGGCTTGCGGTGTTGCAGAGGCATGCGGGGCCCACAGAGTTTAACTGCTGTGTTTGGTTTTCTGTGCATTATGACCAAAACATCTCCACTTAGGTCTCCTCTGTCCACACTACATTGTTCCAGAAGTCTTGTGGTTTGTTCAGATGTGACTTTGCAAACCTAAGCAGTGCCGCCACGTTCTTTTGCTTTGTCCTGGCAACCCTTCCAAACATGGTATACTTGTACCGTCTTTTTTGATTGCTGCCATGAACGTAAACATTCAACTTGTTAACTGATCCCTGTAGAGTATGAGGTGTAGCTCTCGGGTGTTCTGGGATTTCTCTGAGCATTGCACACTCTGACCGTGGGGTACTTGCTTGTATGTCCACTCCTGGGAAGATTGGCAACTCTCTTGAACGTTTTCCACTTGTGAATAATCTTCGTCACTGTAGAATAATGGTCTTCAAATTGTTTGGAAATGGCCTTGTAAGTCTTTCTAGATTGATTGGCAGCAACAATTACTTCTGTAAAATCATTGCTGATGTCTTTGTTCCTTGGCAATGCTCCAGACTAGCAAACTACCAAAACTTCTGCTTTTATAGAGTTGGTCACAACAGATGATCAAGTAATCAAGAGGATTTGATTTGCAGCGCCTGACTGCTACTTATCCACTTAATCCCTATGGAAGCAATACGACTTAGTTTGTCACCCATGGCTTCTCAATTTTGGCCAAGGTTTTGCTAAAGAATGGCATTCTTGTCAATATGTTGTGTTGTTCATCTGAGGTAGTATGATAAAAATGATTTTGATTAAAGAGGGTGTGCTTTCTTTTTCATATGACTCTATAGAGCAAATGACCTCAAAGCTAAAAGACAATGACTAAAACCAATTTTGATTTCATGCAGTCTTTTAAAGTCAAGACTAATTAACTGAATCGTTGCTCAATCATTTATGGTATGCATCTGTGGCTGTGAGTGAAAATACTGTGCATTTGAGATTAAAACTAAACTGATCTTCTCTGAAACCTCCACTTTTAACTCTTTCCCTGCCATTGACGAGTTTTTCCGGCAATCCGTGTTTCCACTGTTATAGGGTAGGGGGCACTATAACACATCTTCTGAAATAGTACAGAATTTCTGGATCAAATCACAGACGAAGAAGAAGCAGAAACTAGTGATAGAAGCATTGCTAACGCACATGTTAAATCACGTGGCATATAAATCAAAACTACCTAATTTTACTGAATGAAATGAATCCATGAAGAGGAAACGACTGAAGCTTTGAGGGTGTTGATGGATCGATCTATTCTATGTGATTTGATCATCACTCTGAATTCCATCCAAATGAACGAAAACATGATTTTTTTCAGCTTTTTGTTCAAAATGTTGCTTTTTTATGAAACGTATTCAAGTTTTAATAAAAAAGAATACATGACTCTAGAATAAAATGTGTTTTTTGTTTAAAAGCAGAGGCTCTGTTCTTTTTGATATACTGACTGATCAGATATTCATACAACAAAATAATCTTGGGGCCATGAAAATTTTGTGAAAATGATCATGCTGACTGGTAACTTTTTTCCAAAAACGCTGGCGGGGAAAGAGTTAAAGAATCACCATTTAAAACCAAACAAACAACATACATCTGGATGCATAAAAAACTTTTTATCCACCCCAGAAAGCATGGCATGAGTTACTTTTAAACTGTTAAATGTTTTGAACAGAATTTACATTAAGCTTTAAAACGTCATACGGTACAAATATCGTCTAACATTTCAACGAAGAAAAATAATAAAGAAACAAAGCATTTAAAACGGGAATTTGAACACAACGAAATGCTGCATGCCAAATTTAAAATGTAACCAGTAATTTACAAAAGGGGGGGGAAAGACATTTTCCACACAATGAAGGTTAGAATGATGACTAAATCATAACTTTGACATGGAGGGAGACCAAGTATAAAAATAAACCAGCTTCCTAATCACAGCTATGATGCACTAGTGGGGATATTCCAACCCGATCTCACGACCAATTCGTACGAATTCGACGAATGATTAAAAAGTGGCGAATTCGTAACAATTCATACGACCTCACTCGTACGAATTAATACGATTTTGCTAAATCGTACATATTTTACGAATTGGCCAATTCGTATGAATTCGTACGAATGACCTACCCCTTACCCCGCCCCTAAACCTAACCGTCACGTGGGTTTAGACAAATCGTACGAATTAGTACGAGTGAGGTCGTACGAATTAGTACGAATTAGCCACTTTTTAATCATGCGTCGAATTCGTACGAATTGGTCGTGAGATAGTGTTGGATATTCATGTTTAACCCTCACCTAGAGGAACAAAACACTACAAGCTAAAAGTAACAGAAACACAAGGTAAATATAATACGCATCTGGGACAGTGTCATCGTAGAATCATGCAGGTAACAGCCAGAGAACAGGAAGTGAGGTAAAAAAAAATTCAAAATACAGCCCTGATGGTTTCCACAGCAACCTGCTCGTGCCCTTGGCATGCTCATCTTCCGAATCCAAACATGAGACGGCACGTCAATCATCGTCTCATTGGGGTTTTACGTGGAGTGAAAAGGAAAGAAGGTACAGATATATAGACGATACAAAAGCTTTGGCAGACAAAATCCATACACGCTCTCTCTACTGTCAGTTAAATGTTGGGAATGGCCATGTTTGGGGGAAGACAGCTCACGTTATCAGTCAAAGCTGCAGCCCAGCACAAAGCATTTAAGGCAGGACGAGTAGACATGAAGGTCTTTCCTGAATAAGATACAACTGTAGAGGCACAGATCCCCAAATTAGTTTGTGGGAAATTTTGGACTTTCTCAGTTGCAGTACATCGTACCATATTCATGGAAAGTGCCATCTGACATGAATATGGAAATTAAATGGCTGAGAATGTGTGTTAGTTGAAGTGAACGTAAGAAAAAACAAAGCAAATCACGAGAGAAGAGCAGAAAGAAATGGGGAAAGGAATTATGAGTAATAGAAGAAAAGTAGAACAAATACAAACAGATGGACATAGACACGGGTCCACTGAGGAATCTAGTGCGCGGTTTGCTACTAGATTTATAGGTGATTCGCTCGGGTGTTTGGTGGTAAACGGTCCAGCCTGTGGAGAAATGAATATAAGAGGGAGAGAGAGAAAGGGAGAGAGAGAAAGAGAGAGAGAGAGAGAGACAGGTGTAACAGCCGACACAGGTAGCGTTCAGATCAGTACCCCATCAACAAGCATCATATCAGCAACACACCAAAACACGGGTCAAGCGTCTCAGAAAGTGTTAATGTAGATGTGTGCCTGTGTGTTTCTAACAATGGGAAAGTTTTTCTGGAACTGATCAAATAGGTCACAGTCTTATGTATCATTAGCCACTTTCACACATAAAACCCATTTATGTTTAAAGTACTGTAACATTGCTGTATTAACCATTCACTCAAAGTGATTTAGTTGGTTTAACTGGTAAGTACACCAACGAAGTCAACGTAGGCCGGCGCATTTTCTCTCCCCTGCTTTGCTCCTCTCGTCACGTCTAGTCTACTGTCTTAGTTTGGAGAGCAGTGCTGAAAGAGTCTCTCAAAGTATAAGAAATTATGGATTTGATCAACTGGTCTCTCAACGCAATTGACACCATCTTCTCGACGAGAAGCTTGGGTTTGGGGGAACAGCAGCTGGCTACACGATGGACGCGTGGGATAGGTGGCGGGTCGTGTGTCTGGCGGCTCTTTCCGTGGAGGACGTTGAAGATATCTACCTATTCGGAACCATGAAAACAGGTCTTCTGCTGATTGGATTAGGCATTGCCCTGGTTTATCGAGGAATTAAGAAGATGGTGACAGCGGTCCAAAGCCTCACAAGGCTGCCCGTCATGATTGAAGCGTTGGGCAGAGCTGTCGGCACTGAGACTGTGTCTATGGCCCAGAATATGGATAACATCATGGAGAAGCTCACACCTTTGTAAAGGCAAATGGATTGTTTCAGAGACGAAAGCGGACCATGAGAATAGCCGTGTAAATTGAATGCGGCTACTTGCCTGAAGACCAAACAATCCCAATCTTATCTGTTTTTGACCGCCCTTAACCAGCACTGGCCTTGGCCAAGGCTCCCCTGGAAGAGCACTGCAGTGAGCCGCTCTTGCGTGCCCAGACACCTGGTGATTGTTGACTCTGTCTGGGATCTGATCAAGGTTGTCTCCATGGTATCTTGCTGTGCATCACTATGACAATCCTGCGGACTGAGGCACCTAGATTATGATGCCAGGCATAGCGACTCTCCAGGCCTACTCATACACAAACTCTTACATATACAGGGGTTGGACAATGAAACTGAAACACCTGGTTTTACAACACAATAATTTGTTAGAATGGTGAGGGCCTCGTTTTGCATCCAAATACAGCACCAATTGACAAATAGAAGTCCTTCACAGTGACCAGAGGGATTATGAGCCGCTCCTCTTCCAGAACAGTGTCCAGGTAACTATATGATAATGGTGGACTCGCTCCTCCAAAACACCTCAATAATATTCAGATCTGGTGACTGTGCATGTTCAACGTCACTTTCAACTTCATCAAACCCTTCTGTCACAAGTCTTGCTGTGTGTATTGGTGCATGATCATGCTGATACACGGTTTGAGCATCAGGTGCTCATGATCCTCCAGAAGGGTATGGTAGTCCTCGGCAGTGTCGTGTCCATCAAATACAATCAGGATTGTCATGATATTGGAGCTCAAACCATCACTGATCCACCCGTGCTTCACTCTGAAGATTGGCCGCCAGGCATATAGATGTGAAACCTCCAACATTGGCCAGTGTTTCAGTTTCATTGTCCAACCCCTGTATATACAGATATGCATTCACTCCCCATCTCTAGGCTTCGCCGCTTTGTACCCCCTAGTCCGACTGTGACCAGCGCCGAGAATGGCTGGCGGACCGGATGGCTGCTTGCCTGTGCTGGGCTACCTCCATCTCCCACTCCCCACCACTGTTGCAAGTTTTGTTCATGTTGTAGAATGTACTGATTGTGCTAATGTTGCTGAGGTGTTTTTTTTTCCTGTTCCCATACTGCACTCCTTACAGGAGCATAGCTTGGGGGTTGCCCTTTTCTCCTAATCTCTCCTCATGTCATGCTGTATTTTCTTCAATTCCCTGTCCTTCTGTCCTATCTACCCCCTTGTCATATCGTATATATGTTTGTATGGACAGGTTGAAGGCCAATTTTACTGGTACTTGTGACTATAAGACAATAAAGGGTTACTACTACTACTACAGTATGATGGGAAAAGTTTCCAAATAATCCGACTGGTATTTTTCCGACACTTCACAGGTAAGAAAAAAAAGTAAAGCATTTGGGAATGCGTGTGTGGTCAAGCATGTTAGGACACCTTTTCCTTTCATAGGTTTACTCAACGCTGTCAAACATTATGGGAACAACCTCCAAGTGTGGCAATTGTCTGAAACCCATAGAATCACACAAGAATTCATTGGATGGTGGCACTATTGCTGCCATCAATAGTACAGCATTGTTGGTGCCTCAAAAAGACGTGCCACCATCGCTCAGATTTTCTTCTTCAAGATGCGATTTTTTAAGTGAATGCTTGGTAAGAGTTTGGCAGTGGGCAGGCTGACGCTCTTCTCCAAAGTGGTGATGAAGCCTGGCCCTCTTTGGCTTATTCTTAGCTTTGGGATGTGGCGACCGATGCAGCCCAGCCAGAAGTGCAGTCTAAGTTGAATAAGTTAATGGCTGGCCATAGTACATATCCTCCTTACAGGTCGCTGCCATATTTCCTTGATTTCCAAAAGATTTTGAAGTCCTGGAAGCAGCCCTTTTAGGCATGGATCACATCCTCATGCCTCAATCCAACTACCTCTGTGTAATAAATTTCAAGTTCAAGGAAGAAGAAGGCGAGAACCTGCGAACAGTAAACATAACTTTAATAATAAAATAAATATATACTAAAAAACAAAAGTACAGCAGCAGCCCTTCACGGAGGACTGCCACATAAACCAAACAACACAACAAGTCCAGGCCTGGTCCTCTCTCATCTTGCACTTTCATCACTCCTTTTATCCTTCCGGAGCTCTTCCGTGGGACTCGAGACCAGTGTGGTACAGGTGATTCTCATTAATACTCGCTCCACTGGCCTCGCTCCATTATCTCTGACGGGATGGAGCAGGGGTGTGTTGAAACGCATGTGGTTGAAGAGGAGCTTACAACTCATCTCTCACCGTCTTCAGCCCCATCTTGGCAGAAGTGGCCGTCTAAGCCCTGCAGGACTACAGTGTGATTCCTATCACTGGCAGTCAGGTGGGTGAGGTGTTGGATACCATGCCAGATTTCCAGGTGTACCAAGCTGATGCCTATAAAGATGAAGGGGCTGACTAGACTCCTAAGACAGTCAAGGAGCTCAGTCATTCTAAGACAGGGTTGGTTCCAACCAAGAGACATCTCTGGTTCTCATGTATATCTTTGAGGTTGAAGTTGGCTAGAATCTAAACCCCATAAGTGCATCAGAGGCTGGGGGAAGCCAAGGCTTCTGACCTGCAGCCGTTCCTGATTCATGGGTCTCGAAAAATCATGTCAACCCGCTAAAGGATATTTGCTTTTCACCTTGCTGACCTCGAGATTCTGTTCTGTTAGTTCCTCCTCAGTTTGCATCCCTTTAGAGGAAAAACATGTGTCTTGTGTTTCATGCAACACTGCCTTTGGAGCACAGGAGTTGTGCCTCAAGTCTCGTTTACAGTGATTTTCTTACATGGTGCATGCTGGGTCCCTTATTTAAAACAGGCCATACAATCTTCCATTTGGGATAGGGTTTTCCTGCTGCTCAGCCACTTCAGGGTCCCCTTCAGGAAGGTATACTACTGATAGAGGCACGTAACTAATGTACACCCCTCATATCTCTTGCACTAACCAGTGACACTGGGCACTGTCAAGCAAATATATCAGCTCATCAGCTATATCAAATATTGAGTCTTGGCATTTTGACATTTCCCCATGGGCAGATTCGGTCAACACAAGACTGTTTCCACAAACACCTCATCAGAAGGTTGGGCGCACTTTACAAAGAATGTCCAGTCATCTGGGCAAGACCGACTGGAAACCCCCAAAATAGCTACTCACAGCTCCAGGTGTTTGTCCACGGTTTGGAGTGTGTGTGTGTTCACTACTCCTTATGTATGTGCACTAACTTGGATGAAGTAAATGCAGAGGACAAATTCCAAGTACGGGGTAGTGATGGGTCATTCATGAACGGTCACATCGAACAAAACACTCAGAAGGTAAAGTAAATATTTATGTTCCCTGCAAATGATCTTTGGCTGTTTTCTAATGATTTTGCAATTCAGAATAAGATCAAGATTGCGTGGTGGATATGTTCGGGGACTTTGACTGTTAAAAGTATAACCTTTAAAGCCACTTAAATGAATGGAATGACTCAAGATTCGTTCATTTTGGAGTCAGTAAAGTGATCCGAACTTCCCATCACTAGAATGGGGTTCCATACTTGTCCTTTACATGTGACTTTCAGCCGTGGAGCCCGGAAGTTATTTCTTTCTGGACATTTGAGCCTGGTATGTGGTTCTCATGACAGACAACATGTCAGTAGTTTCTTACATAAACCGAATGTGTTGGTGACCCATGAGGTGTTTAGTGTGGCAGATTCTTAAGCAGAACAAACTTCCGTCATTGAGGGCGGTGCATATCCCAGGTAAGCTGCATGTGGGAGCAGATCTTCTCTGAAGGGTTAGGGTTAGGGTTAGGTTTGAGGCCCAGAGCACAGAGGTTGCAGCCTCCTACCATGGGTCTGATTTGACGAGAAAGAGTCCCCCTTTGATTTGTTTCCTCCAACTCTTGGATAAACAGCCTGGCTTCATGATTGACTGATGGTCCATCTGTATGCCTTCCCACTGATAAGTCTGCTTCCTCCGGTCCTTCCAGTGCGTCTTGGTATGTTTCTTAAATCTGGTGTTTCTCCTGGATGAGAGTCCGTGGGAAATACAGATTAACTCTCACAGGCTCAGGGCAGTATGTGGCAACCCGGAAGGAAACTTTGAGTTTGGTATTTGATTGGGGGTATCAGGTTAATTCTGGTCTTTTGTCTGAGGTTACAGAGACCCTTTTGGATGCAAGGGCTCCCGCGACTAGGAGGCTGTATTTTCCTAAGTGGTAGATATTTGCATTGTTGTGTATAGAGCACAGTTTGAATGTGGATCATTCCTTCTTGCTTCAGTTCTGGCCAGAGGATTGCATTAACTGAAATTCTCCATCATTGACAGATTTTCTTTTTAGCAGTGATGGAAAACTCTGAATGCTGTCCATACTTTTGGCAGATCCGGGCGTTCTGGGACTGAACACAGCAATGTGCGTTCACACAGAAGGCGTTCTGGCAATTTCCCGGCAATTTCCAGGGATCAACGCGCTGTGTGAAAGGGGCTACAGATTTACTGAATGTTAACGGATCGTTTTCTCCAGGTACTTTTAACATTTATTTGCCGGAAATTTTTTAACGAGCTACAGTGGAAATATAAACAATACATTCACAAAATATTCAGACTGCTTTGCATTTTTATTCACTTCCTTCCAGTAAAACAGAAATAAAATCAGTTACAGTATTCAGACCCTATTCTTACAATACGACAAATATACGTTTAAAGGGATACTCCACTTTTTTTCGAATCCACCAGACAGTTTCTGGTCCCATTGACTTCCATAGTATACTATCTGGTTACTGATATTCTTCTAAATATCAGAAAATCGGCTGAATGGATTCAAAAACGGTAAAACTCAACTCTGGGGGAGTTGTAAAATGAGACTATTTCCCAAAAAAACACGGAGACAGTTTTCAAAAACTTGCACTTTGAAACCCGTTTACAAAAGTTAGTGTTTTCAGGCATCCAATACGCTGCTGTTGTGTAAATGAACGGCCAAAACGCATAAAAAATGTAATAAACGCTGTCGTGTAAACAGCTCCTACGTCCTGGGCTACCAAGGGTGCGCCAACAAATAAAACGGAGTATGATGCACACCTTCTTTTGGGGATTCTTCTTTATGGATCTTCTCAAGGTTCCACAATCATTAGTGGGTTAAAGTTACGGCTCTGGTTAGGCCACTCAGGAACATCAGGTGGAAGGTGAACCTTCGATCCAACCGGAGGGAGCTGCTTTTCCTCAGTTTCTTCCTTATATTTTGGGGACTTTTACGATTCGCTTCAGAGGTGGAGGTGAAAGGAAACAACAGAGGAATAGGGAAATGACATGAGCCAGATTCAAGCTCTTGTTAAAACTATTCATATGATAGAAACTTTTGTGGTATTAACTCCTAAATTTGGCAAAATACAAAAGATGATTTGCCTTCCCACTCACACATGACCTCGAAATGGAGACATTTATGGCAAAGAGTAGATGTGTGAAAGTGTCTACTGACCCGTAAGAATGTTTCATACACAGAATGAGCGTCACGCGATCTTCCTTTGCCGTCGGAGAAATCATGTGAATTAAGGAGCCGTTTAAATGTCACATTCTGTCCGACTCCATTTAAACGAAGTAAATGAGTTGAGCACATGAGAGACTGTGAAATAACCCCATGCGTGTGAGAAAGTGAGTGAGATATGTGACAAACAGAGACGGAGAGAGATATGAGTCACAGAGAGGCATCTCTGACACTTGTACATCAGTGTCACGCTGCGTCCGAGCTCCAAACACTACACTGCAAAACATGCTTTCTTACTTAGTATTTCTGTCTTGTTTTTATCTCCAGTCCAAATATCTAAATATTCTTAAATCAAGAAGCATTTAATGACATATTGTTTTCTGATTAAAATAAATAAAATCGAGTTTTTGCTAAAAACAATCAAAATAATCTGGCAATGGGGTATGAAAAAAAAAATCTTAATTCAAATGGAAAACATTATTTATTCTTAACCCATTGGCAGATAACTTTGCTTGGTTTAAGCAAAAACTCACTTAATTTTATTTATTTGAATCAGAAAACAATATAGAATTTCTTACTTCTCTAGTGATTAAGAATATTTAGATGTTTAAACTGGAAACAAAAATACTTAATCTGTGATTGAACTGCATGCATTGTGTTCTCAGTGAGACGCTAGCGTGGGCAGCGGAGGACACTGTAGAGGACAGCGTGTGTGTGTGTGTGTGTGTGTGTTCACCTTGTCTGGGTGGCGTGTGTGTGTTGGGGTTGTAGATGTTGTCGGAGGACAGAGAGCCCTTGAGCGAGCAGGGCTGCTGGGTTTGGACCGGCTCCAGCGGTTCCGACACGGGACTGGCGGTGCTGGATCCCACAGAGCTCTTGACCGGAGAACCCGACGCACTGGAGCACGTCTCAGCTGCAGGACAACACACACAATCTGAGGTTTTATAGTGCGATAGCTTTCATTTTGGTGGGCTTAAAGGGATCGCTCACCCATAAATAAAAATTACCCAATATTTACTCACCCTCAAGCCATCCTAGGGGTATATTTCTTATTTGTGACTAACACAATCAAAGATTTATTAAATATTTTTCTGGCTCTTTCAAGCTTTATAATGACAGTGAAAGGAGGACACGATTTTGAAGCCCAAAAAAGTGCATCCATTCATCATAAAAGTCATTTATACGACTCCAAGGGTTGATAAAGGCCTTCTGAAGCAAAGCCATGCATTTTTGTGAGAAAAATATCCATATTTAAAACTTTAAAAATTAAAATAACTAGCTTTGGCAGACGGCCTATTCAACTGGAGTTACACCAAAGGTGGATTGAAATTTTTGAGTGAACTATCCCTTTAAAGATTACAGATGCACAGGTCGCACAAAACAGTAAGAGATGGGATATTTAAAAATGCTATTATTAAGCATTAATAATATATATATATATATATATATATGAAGAGTTCAGATGCAAAAGCCTTGAAATTTTCTTCTAGAATGATCATTTTTATCAAATTTGTATAATTAAGTTCAGTGATTTCACTTAAATGGCAAAGATAATTACCTATTAATTGTTATTTAAGTGAAATTACTGAACTTAAATATACAAGTTTGATAAAAATCATCATTAAAGAAGAAAATTTCAAATGGCATTTAGAAGTTTTTGCATCTGAACTCTTCATATATATATATATATATATATATATATATATATATATATGTAAATCTTTTAAGTTTTATGTAGGCTTGACAAAGCCGAACTTCTGTTCAGATCAGACTTCAGAACAAACCTTCATTGAGGAGCTGAAAACTTTCAGTTACACTATTTTAAGATGTCCATGTTGCAGTTATACATTTAGGTACTGAGTAATAATAATAAACTACATGTAATGGTAACACTTTAGGGTCCAATTCTCGCTATTAACTTGTTGCTTTTTAGCATGCATATTTCTAGGATATAGGCTGTTTATCAGTACTTATAAAGCACATATTAATGCCTTATTCTGTATGACCATATTCTACATCCCTTAATCTTACCCTATACCTAAACTTAAAAAAAACCCAGTAGTCAAAAAGCTTTTCAATGTTGTTTATGTGTGTATGTGGTGTTTTTAATATGCTTTAACACACACCGTGTGTAAGTTGATAAGTGGACTGAGTATTTCCTCCTTAAAACTGCAGTGAACCAAAGACAGTCTCAAAAACACGCTTTGGTGTTTCTGACGTCACAAACCACCTTGTAACCAATCAGATCAACGTGTGATCGACAACCAGTGGATCTCTGAGTGAGCGAGTGAGTGAGTGGTGGCGGGGCTCATTTGCACATTTCAAGCTATTTTCAGGCAAGAAGAATTTCTTTAATTTTTAATATGTAATTTTGGTGATTTTAAGGGACACAATTATTGACTACAGGGGGACTAAAGCTGGTCCTGACACAGACGCTTGCATACATACTTGAGCTGTTGCTCCGGTTGCTCCTGAGGTGTTGCACCATGGGATTGAGCAGTCGGCTTCCCTTCAGCTTGTGTTTGGAGGCTCTGCGGCGCCGGCCTGTAGGGGGCACTGCGTGCGGGAAGCCCACGCTGGGGGGAACGGGCCGACCTAACTGAGAATACAGCCGCTCGATCTCTCCTCTCTGAAGGGCCTGGAGCTCAGAGATCTCCTTCATGTGCCTGCAGGAGAAACACACTTTTCATCTGCTTGTCTGGACTGTCGAGCCATCAATGCATGAGAAACATGCCATTCTTTCAGGGAAATGCTCTATTTAGCCAGTGAAATTCAGTGAAAATAAGTTTGTAAGATAAAAGACAAAGCAAACCGCACTGACAAAAGGACTCGACTCAATTTAAGGGAGTTTGATATGTTTTATGTATAAAAGAGTTTAATTTGAACCGTGCCAGGTGCCGAGAAACTCAGTTTAATGCAATCAAGACATAATTATGAAATTTGGGGTAAACGTGTACAACAGAACAACTATAGCTATAACGTACACTACCAGTCAAAAGTTTTAGATCAGTAAGATTTTTTATGTTTTTAAATGAAGTCTCTTCTGCTCACCAAGGCTGCTTTATTTGATGAAAAAAAAAATGACAAACAGTAATATTGCGAAATATTATGACAATTTAAAATGACTGTTTTCATATTTTAAATGGAATTTGAAAGCTGAATTTTCAACATCGTTACTGTTGCTGATTACACATCAGTTTTCAGTGTCACATGATCCTTCAGAAATCATTCTAATATGCTGATTTTATGCTCAAAATATAATCTTTTCTAACATTATAAATGTCCTTACTGTAACTTTTGATCAATTTAACTCATCTTTGATGAATAAAAGTATTTTCTAATTTCTTTGCCCCAAAAATAAAAAATAAATTCTTACTGACCCCAAACTTTTGAATGGTAGTGATTAATGTTACAAAAGATTTCCATTTCAGATCAATTCTGTTCTTTTGAACTTTCTATTCATCAAAGAATCCTGAAATAAAAATGTAAAAAACTGTTTTCAACATGGATAATAATCATAAATGTTTCTTGAGCATCATATTATAATCATTTCTGTAGGATCATGTGACACTGAAGACTGGAGTAATGATGATAAATTCAGCTTTGATCACAGGAATAAATTACTCTTTACTAAATATTCACATAGAAAACCGCTGTTTTAAATTGTAATAATATTTCACAATATTACTGCTTTTTTGTTGTTGTTTTTTTATCAAATAAAGCAGCCTCGGTGAGCAGAAGAGACTTGTTTTAAAATCTTACCGATCTAAAACTTTTGACCGGTTGTGTGCAGGATTGTGTCAAACACACAAGAGAGAAATCAGCGCAATAATTTAGAAAAAAATTATAATTTTTAATAAATTAGTCGGTAAGAAATCTCACTCCAGCGAAGCAACCAAAGTTGGCAACCCCGTCATGTTCAATCCTGAGTGGCGGCTTACACCTGCTCCCAGTCGAAGTGCTCATCTTAGGATAACAATCAGATGTTTGATTCCACAGTTTTATTTTTATAACTTGGAAACCCTTGTTTTGGCACAATTATTCTGTGTTATAGGATCCGGTGTTCCTTCACTGGTGTTCAGGATGTATAAAACACGTGATAAAAGGCATCTTTTCCATGTTACTCAGAGGTTTTGTGTGAGCCAGCCGATTGGAACAACCATATACAAAACAGTGATGATCTCAGGTGCTGATTATGTGCTTTATTTAATGTTAAAAGCATCTAATGTGAGTTTGAATATCATTTTGCGTGACCTTTATAGGAGTACTGAAAGGATAATGGATAATTCACCTCAGATCTTGAAAAGAAATGAAAGGAAACAAGAACGTTCAAACTGTGAATGAAACAAGTGTATTCTAGCTTTACTCACTTCTCCCTCAGCTTCTGTAGCTCTCGTTTCATGTCAGCGTCCTCAAACTCAGAGTCGTTATCGCTGCTGACGTACGCGGAGTGGGCGTGGCTTGCGACCGAAGGGGCGTGTCCGTTCGCCACAGGACACGAGGGCGAATCAGAGCTCTGCACGCTGCTACTGTGACCCGAGCGGCGGAGGAAAGCCACCGCGCGCTTCATGAAGTCCGACCGGGCCGGAGCCGGGGCCGAGGGCCTGATGGACGGGGACCCGCTCGGATCATCCTCTCCTGAGTCAGAGGACAGGCACTGCATCGTCCCGTCAGCTGACTGACAGCTCCGAGTGCAAGGCATTGTGGGTCTGGCCTCTGGAAAGGAAGTAAGTGTGTCCTGAAAAAAAGAAAAGCAAAAGAAATGTAAATGTATAATATTGACAAGCTATATCAGCTAAAAAAGTTTATGCAAAGAACCCTAATTAAATATAAATAACTGAATCTGTATATTAGATGTGTTCATTAGCTCTTAAAGTGACAGCGGCCTAATAAACCTGCAGTCGGTGTCATTAATGATCAGTAAACAAAACATCTGATCTTGGCAGAATAACTAAAGTAGCTTTAATAAGGATATATTCTGTAAGTAAGTGACTATATATGTTATATAACAGTGTGATTTTACATTTGATTATAATTTTTTTTTTTGTAGGCTATTACGGTTACTTGTACGTTCCTGAAAAACTTAAAACACTATTTACTTTGTATTTTTGTATTTATCACAGTTTTATTTATAATTCGTTTCTTATTGCATTGCTGACTATTACTGTCTCGTAATTATTTTGAGGACCTTTTTCTTCCAGTGGTGATTATGATTTTGCCATAATCGAGCGCTACGGTGCACAGTGAGCAGTGTGACTCACACCTGATACAAGTCTGAAGGTGCCGAGTAACGTTTGCTCGCTGACTGTAACGAGGATCTGTTTCTGCTCTCAGATCCAGACTCCAGATCCATCACCGGATCTCCTCCAGCATCACGAGAAGACGCGTCTGAATCAGTCGGCACAATCTACAGCACACACACACACACACACACACATCATCTCATATGCATCATATGGTCTTCCACACACAGTCAGAAATTCTCATCCGAAATTTTCACACGTTAAAAAATAAATGAGTGTCCATCATGTTAAAGGAGTAGTTCACTTTAAAAAAACTTTTGCTGATAATTTCCTCACCCCCATGTTATCCAAGATGTCCATGTCTTTCTTTCTTCAGTCGAAAAGAAATTAAGGTTTTTGATGAAAACATTCCAGGATTTTCTCCATATAATGGACTTCAATGGGGACCAAACGGTTCAAGGTCTAAAAGAGAGTTTCAGTGCAAACTGTTCAAAGGGCTTTAAACGATTCCAGACGATGAATAAGGGTCTGATCAAGGACCCTTCGAGTCATGACTCGAAAAAAGATTCGTTCATTTTGATGAACAAGTTCGAACAGGAGAGTCACGAACGCGCATCACAGAACAGAGCAAGGCGAGCATTTGAGCTTATAAAACTTAAACTTTGTTATTTATTAATTAAATGAGTGATCGTTTCGCTTGATAAGACCCGTATTCATCGTCTGGTGTCGTTTAAAGCCCTTTGAACAGTTTGCACTGAAACTCTCATTTGGACCCCATTGAAGTCCATTATATGGAGAAAATCCTGGAATGTTTTCATCAAAAACCTTAATTTCTTTTCGACTGAAGAAAGAAAGACGTGGACATCTTGGATGACATGGGGGCGAGTAAATTATCAGCAAATGTTTTTTGAAAAGTGAACTACTCCTTTAACACACTAGCTCTGAAACCTTCGTCCGTCATAAAAAAATTCAGGTCGTGTGCAATTTTCTGCTTTTTTTTTCGCAGCCGTAGCCTTTTGAGAAGTGTTTCGACAGCTCAGAGCCACCCGATCACGAATACGAAAAAACGCTTATGAAAATTTCGGACTCGGATTGCAAGGACCTTGAGTAGTAGTTAATGGCGGGCTGTAACCTGGAAGTGTCTCTTGGATGCGTGCGTGCCGGATTCGGCCCCGGAGTCCGTTCTGCTCAGGAGTTTTCTGAACGCTGATGGACAGAGAATGAGAGAGAGGCTCGGATGTAGTAAAACACAACATGCAGTGCTCAAAATACAAAAAAACAATCTAAAAATCATGAAAATCATTAAAACGAAGCACCAGACATCAGCGTTTAAAGGGATAGTTCACCCCAAAATATTACTCTCCCTCATGTTGTTCAACCCCGTAAGACTTTCGTTCACTTTCGGGACACACATTAAGATATTTGTGATTAAATCTGAGAGCTGGATCACTCCTCCATAGGCTTCTATTGTAATTGAAACTTGCCGGCCCAGAAAGTTATTAAAGACATCGTTGAAATAGTCTGAGCGACTACAGCGGCTCAACCAAAAACAATACAGTAATTTGTGTCCCGAAGACGAACGAAAGTCTTGAGGTTGAGGGCGAGTATTTGCTGACCTTTTAGGTGAACAGACCCTTTTTGTCATCACAGAATGAAGATAAAGCAGCAATCACAGGCCGAATGCCTTCTAGATTCAACTAAAGCAGTAAACGTCTGCAGTACATTTCTACAGGTCTTCCAAATGGATAATTTAGCTTATACTAATTTAATTACACCGTTCTCTGTGTGTTTTTTAAAAACTTGCATCCATAAATGAACATTCACACACACACTCGCACATTACTTACGGGCAACAGCGGAGTCACTCAAGGTCCCGAGACTGTCAGATCTCTCGGGAATCTGAGGCTAAAACAGACAGAATAACTCAAATTAAGAATACAGAGAAATACAGAATAGCAAAAATACAACAAAATGGAGACAAAAAAAACATTTCTACATGAGAGCGCTTAAAATAAAAATTAATGGTGCATTGTTAAGAAAAGGGTCATGATATTTAAATGTATTTATTTCTCTCGATTTGTATTTGCTTTGGATAAAATCAAATACTAAATTAATATAAGGGATTCATGATGACTTGATTTAGTTACGAAATGAAACGAACGTTATCTGAAAGTGCATCTGATGCCTTTAGGTGCTATTAAACTGTATTTTGCCATCAAGCAAAATTAATTAAAAAGTAAATATGTTAGGATATAACTATTGGTACAGAGGGTTTATGGTAACTAATGTTGACTAATTCAACCTTTGATTTTAATAACGTATTAATAAATGTTGAAATTAATATTAACTAAGATTAATAAATGCTGTAGAATTGTTGTTCATTCTTAGTTCATGTTAACTAGGTATTTAATTAATGTTAACTAATGAACCTTACTGTAAAGTGTTATCAATTTTATTACCAGCTATTAATCTTAATACACCTGGCAGAGTGAGTGAAAACGAGGATTGATTTTACAAAAATAAAATAAAATAAAAAAATACTACAAAAAGTATGAATTTAAGCGTTTTATTGTTTCATGCTTCATTACTTCAATGGGCTCATTGTTTTTGCCATAAATTAAATTGTTTAAATTAATACATTTTTCGCTAACTGTGATTTTGTATATGTAGTACATTTCTAAAACACACAACTTAGACAGTGTCTGATAACAGATCACTCTAAATTGTAACATGGACTCATGCATTTTCTGTAAATCTGTGTTGAAAGGATGTGTACTGTGAAAAGCGCTGAACAAATAAATGTGAATTATATTATTATCAGCTGAAAATCTTAATAAAACAACCTGACAGCTGGCAGTATGAGTGAAAAGGGATTAATTTTTACCAGTTTCTCTGCGTTCCTGGCGGCCCCATCGCTGCCTTGGCTGTCCGACAGCGGCGGGGATCCCGGCGGCTCGGAGGCGGAGCTTGTGGTCTGCGATGGGTGGTACTCTTGGTACAGAAGGTTTCGTAGTTTCTCATCCAGAGTCTTTATGGTTCTGTCAGTGAACTCCAGTCGGGGCGGCCCTTCACCGTCGGACTCGCCCGCCTGCGCCTGCAATGCTGTGGCGGGTTGGGTCTGATGGGTGGGGCTCGGAGGCTGCGATTGGCTGACGCCCGGAGGCTGCGATTGGCTGATGCCCGGAGGCTGCGATTGGCTGATGCCCGGAGGCTGCGATTGGCTGACGCCCGGAGGCTGCGATTGGCTGATGCCCGGAGGCTGAGCTTGGCTGATGCTCGGAGGCTGCGATTGGCTGATGCCCGGAGGCTGCGATTGGCTGATGCTCGGAGGCTGCGATTGGCTGATGCCCGGAGGCTGAGCTTGGCTGACGCCCGGAGGCTGCGATTGGCTGATGCCCGGAGGCGGCGATTGGCTGATGCCCGGAGGCTGCGATTGGCTGATGCCCGGAGGCTGCGATTGGCTGATGCCCGGAGGCTGCGATTGGCTGATGCCCGGAGGCTGCGATTGGCTAATGCCCGGAGGCTGCGATTGGCTGATGCTCGGAGGCTGCGATTGGCTGATGCTCGGAGGCTGCGATTGGCTGATGATCTGAGGGTGCGATTGGCTGATGCTTGGAGGCTGCGATTGGCTGATGCTCGGAGGCTGCGATTGGCTAATGCCCGGAGGCTGCGATTGGCTGATGCTCGGGCGCTGCAATTGGCTGATGCTCAGAGGATGCGATTGGCTGATGCTCAGAGGCTGCGATTGGCTGATGCTCGGAGGCTGCGATTGGCTGATGCTCAGAGGATGCGATTGGCTGATGCTCAGAGGCTGCGATTGGCTGATGCTCAGAGGCTGCAATTGGCTGATGTTCGGAGGATGCGATTGGCTGATGCTCAGAGGCTGCGATTGGCTGATGCTCGGAGGCTGCAATTGGCTGATGTTCGGAGGCTGCGATTGGCTGATGCTCAGAGGCTGCGATTGGCTGTTGCTCGGAGGCTGCGATTGGCTGATGCCCGGAGGCTGCGATTGGCTGATGCTCGGAGGCTGCGATTGGCTGATGCTCGGAGGCTGCGATTGGCTGATGCTCGGAGGCTGCGATTGGCTGATGCTCGGAGGCTGCGATTGGCTGATGCTGACAGCAGCTTGTGGAGTGGGCGTGGCAAAGGGTTGCTGAAGCACTACGGCTGGAGTCTGGCTGACACACGGCTCTGCGTTCGGGCTGCCTTCATAAGCTACGGGCTGCTGAGGGGTTTCGCCCACTTTCTGAGCAATGACATCGAGAGACACAGGAGGCGCCATTGGGCAGCATGGGATGTCAGAAACCATAGAAACACCCGGCGGACAGGCGGTCTGAGGGCTGTCAGAGAGAGATGCCTGTGGCACTGATGGCTGTGTCTGCAGAGGTTTGGCACTGTTGACGTCCTGCGCTTGAGATGTAGAGGAACTCTCTGGGTCTGGAGAAAATGAGTGAGCGGTGAGCAAGCACATACACTGCAAAAAATATATTTAGTTATTTGGCATTTTTGTTTTGGTTTTCAGTCCAGTTCCCAGTCAAAAATGACAGACCTTTTAAATTGCATTGTAAATCGCTCATTATGCTATATTAAATCACCAAATAGTGGATTTAGTCTTTTTATGGTAGGTTTTGTATCTCTTTTTCGAACTGACTGATCATAGGCCTGTGTGTTTTTTGAGATGAATAAGTTTGATTGAACTTTTTTTTCTTCTCAAAAACAGTTCGAAAAATAAATAAAAAGCCTGTGCTAAGAGCGCAACAATCTGGTTCCAGAAGTAAAAACTTTAGATACTTGTACTGCAAAACAAGACAAAAATACTGAGAAAGACGGTCATTTTTGCAGTCTACTATAGCAGTGAATTTAGCATTAGATGAGGTGTGCTGTATTACTCGTCTCTTCTCTGTCAGGCACGGTGGTCTCAGCGACGGGACAGATGATGAACCAGCGCTTTCCTGTGTGAAGCACTGTAAATCAAGGAAGACAGTGGGTTAAATGCTCGTCCTACAGTTGTTGCAGTGAGACCTGTAAAACATGACGAGTCTTAGTCTTACCGTTCTGTTTATAGACTAGCTGGTCCGACTGCGTGTGCTCAGGTTTTGACCCCTGAATACAGAAGAAAACAAGTTCAGTCATGTTTGGTGATGCACAGAAATGACACACTTCACCTGAAGTACAACAGGGCTAAACGCACACCAAGGCAAAAGGCAGATTTTATTCTTCTCTAAACCACCAGATGGGACAACAACAGTGAGACTGTCACAAACTGAAGGTTGAGGATCCAAACGCAGTATTTATTGAACAGGGTAATCCAATGACGTGATACAAAGTACAGGCAAGGTCAAACACAGGCAGGCAGTCCATACAAATGAACACAACAAGGCAGGGAACATGGGCAAAAGAGATTCGACAGATTCGACTCCTTGACCCCTGAAAAATTAAGCCTTATAGATGCCTTTCCGTCGCCACCATAGCAGCCATAGACCAACCAAGAGAGTGGGCCGACTGCTTGGTGGCACGAAGAGCAGAAGAAGCTGCCTCAGGGATACACCTTCCACTTGAGCCAGGTTTTGACCCAGTAACCATGCAGTACAGCCATAGTGTGCAAAGCTCTGCCAGTTTGCCCAGCCGCCGCATACACTCTGCCCATCAACCTCAATGTCGCCTGACATGGATTAGAGGGCAAACTGGGAGCTTTCATCGATGAGGATGTCCTCGGGAAAAGGCAATTAGCTAAAATCCTTTTTATTCAAGGCATTCTCCCATAACCCTGCTCACCAGACCCCCTACATTCGAATAACTCAAAGCCGATTGAGCCGCACAAGCAGAGTATGGTTGTTTCCATGAACCTGACACCTCAGTGTGCAAGTCTGGAGGAAATAGTAGGCTCACTAGGAGAAGCCAGAGATGTCCAATCCTACTCCTGAAGGGCCACTGTCCTGCAGATTTTAGCTCCAACTTGCCTCAACACACCTGAACACCTAATCAAAGTCTTACTAAGCATACTAGAAAATTCCAGGCAGGTGTGTTGAGGCACGTTGGAGCTAAACTCTCCAGGACAGTGCGAGTTTGGAAACCCCTGGTCTGCTGTCTCACGTTTCAAGCCTGACCAGTTCAGCTTTGGTCGGGCAGTTACACCAGTCATAAGTTCCAATCCCTCATAATTTTCAGCACTTTGCTGTATGGAGCAGCAAACAGATACTTTAGAAATATCCATCTCTACTGACACCATGAATCATAGGTGAGCAATGAGTCCTTGTTTCCCATGATAGAAGCCGCTGAGCATTCTTGCATAAAGACGATGGATCTAGTGGAAGAGGTAAGGGGAACTCCCCATCATTCCCCATCAGCCGCGTCTGAGATCCCCACGGTGACCTCAGCAAATGCGGCGCTAGAGCCGCGGTAGTGACCAGTAGTGAGCGTGAAGCGAAGCCGCGATATCAAGGTTTTAACCCAGTAACCCCCCGCGATATCAACCCATTATGTCGGTTTGAAATAAAGAGTTACAGTCATTTAGAAATTAAAAAGTTGAAGCTCTAATCTTCTTCTGAAAATCACCAAAAAAGTCTGTTAGTGCCTCAGTGACTACTTTGTTTAGAGAAGCTGTCAACGACAACATCACATTCCCGTTTTTAACTCATTTTAAAAAATGAACAATTAAACTTACACTACTGTGATAAAAAATACTTCTGAAAACATTGTTGGAAATGTTTTATTTGAAGTGTTTGAAGTGTGTTTATTTGAAGACTACATGGAGAGGGCGGGGTTTATGACCTATACTGGGACCAACCACCTGGGGGCGTTTGAGACACTTTGGCTTCCCTTTTCAGGACTTGTGCGGCATGCTTGGCTGGGACGCCCCTTGCAACCTTATCACACTGTGTCAGCCATGAATGGCGTGTTGTTATATGTGCCTCGGACACCAGGGGGCACTTCACCATTACATCAGTCGGCACAGCATTGAGGAAAGGGAAAAATAAAGGGAACATATGAAGAGTTTAGATGCAAAAGCCTCTAAATGCCATTTGAAATTTTCTTCTAGAATGGTCATTTTTATCAAGCTTGTATATATAAGTTCAGTAAGTCCACTTAAATGACAATTAATAGGTAATCTTCATTGCCATTTAAGTGAAATTACTGAACTTAAATATACAAGCTTGATAAAAATGATCATTTTAGAAGAAAATTTCAAATGGCACCTAGAGGCTTTTGCATCTGAACTCTTCATATAGAGTGCCGAAGTGATGACGTCACTTTGTAGGACAACCCGGAAGCTAGCGGCGGCGCATTGGTTCCCTCGGTCGAAAAGCAATGCATTTTCTCCATAGACTTTTGGAAAATCGCAAAAAATAACATCTGTGTTTAACAAAGGGTTGTGACCCTTACACGTTTTGTCTAGCAAGATAATCTTTACAAGTTAATCCAAAATGTATACATTTTGAAGCCTATATAAAGATTTTAAAAACCACAAGCAGGTTATAACTGTGTGTTCTATGTCATAGATCAAAATGTGAAAATATTTAGAGGCTTTGTTCACCACAGACCTTATTTCAGGCGATTTAGCAAAAACCCATTCAAAAATCCCATAGGCTTTAGAGCGAGGGAACCGTAATGCTAAAATGCTAACTCACTTCCGCGTTTCGGCCCACAGAGTGACGTCGTAACTTCGGCACTCTATAACTTTAGCTAAGTATTTGTGTTTTACCTTTTGCCCGTTGCCTTTGCTTTCAAAGCCTTCCACGCCACCTCATTCGCCACTACAGAACAAACCTCTTTTTAGCAGTGATTTACCAGTGAAAAGTCAACTTTCCTTTAAGGTGTGGCTTTAGCCCCGTTATGCTAATACAAGAGCACCGTCGCTGTTTCCAAGCTCTCAGTTAGGACAAAGTATATGAGCTGTACATTTTCATCCAAATCATATATGCATTAATAAACCTGTGCGCCGGAGTCTGCGGTGACGGGCGTCTGGCGGAGGGGTGAGGTCTGGACGTTGGCCTTCTCCCCCTGAGCGTCCTCGCTCAGAATGTCCTCGGCTTTATCCATGATGTCCTTCAGCTGCTCGATGAACATCTCCCGCTCCAGCAACAGAATAAACTCATTCTCAACCTGGAGGAACATGAAGAACAGATATGCCCTTCTAGCTAAATGTAATTTTTATAGTTGGTCCAATCCCCCCCAAATCTCATTTACTTGGAGAGAAAACTTTAGCACAGGAGTTTTAAACAGATCTCACCATATACGTGGCAATCTCCTCTGGAGCGTCTCCATCAAGGTCAAATTTAAACGTCACCATCCTATGGTTGTGAGTCTCCAGTTGGCACTCCACCATCTTGTCTCCCGTGTCGCACACCTGTAACAGTTAGGGAGAATATTTCAACAGAAACATCAACAAAAAAATAAATATATCACTGCCTAATAACCAGTAAATCCAGGTGAATATAATCAAACACCAGCCTGAATTAACTCTCAGTTTTACAAAGAAATGTGTCAAATTCTATTAAGTTAAACATGTTTTCTTAAGTCCAAACTGGTACTGAAGTCTGTTCTGGTCATTGTCTCTGTATTTTCAGCATTCACAGGACTTAATCACTTTATTGCCATCTGAATCCAGCATGTCAGTGTTTTCCTAAAAGATCCCAGTCAAATGACCTCTTCTTTGACCAACACCAAGGTCGTTATTTTACGAGAAGGTAAGTCATTGTGTAAATCCTTTTCGATCACTGCGATAGTGTTTTAAATATGGACACGTATTACTGAAACGCTGGAAACGGTTTAAAGAAATAACATGCAGAAACAATTACCGTCCAAATAGCGCTAAACAGTTTCACAAATCACTTTCTGTTTTGAAAGCTAATATCTAAACACTGTGTGGACAGGCTTCATTAGTTTTACTGTGTGCTCTGGACTCACTTTGATCATGGTGAGCTTGGATCTGTTCATCTTGTCTTGCCGGGAGCGAGTGCGCGACGTCTTGCGAAGGTTTTTCCGGACTCGGGATTCGCTGCGAGCTCTGTTGGAGCCCTCGTTCCCATCGCTCATCTCTTTACCGGATGTGGCATCTGAGTTTATACTGCAGAGAGCAGAGAACCAATCATTGAGCTTCTGTATGCACAAGGTTTGAAACTCCAAAAACATGCATGAGGAAACAAAGAATTTGATTTATCCAATGATCTATGAACAAAGAATCGGCACCTGTCATAGGTGGACCCAGCCGGTGCTGCCTGTTTATCGGCAACATGATCCTAAAGTGCACAGAAGGCAATGATTCAATGGGTTTGCCATTAGGGAGTTTTTCCAACAATGCAAAACTCTAACAAGCATTAAAAACACACAGGATACAGTCTATTTTTAAATTGGACCAAATGATTCTTTTTGGCTCTGAACGAATTACATTTATAATCTACAATAACTCTTGGTGCACCCTACACATATCTATGCATTACTGGCACTTGATTTCAAAACAGATTATTCTGTTGATAATGTACCATCAAAATTGTTTATAGCTACAGTGGTGTGAATAAGTTTTGACCCCCATGCTAAAGTTGCCTAAAAAGAGGAATAAAAAAATCATCTTTTGGATGTTGATCTTAATGCCTTAATTAGAAAAATGAGGAAAACTCCAACCTTTAAGGACACCAATTTTCTTTGTGAATGAATAATGTATCATAAATAAATAAATGTTTTTCCTTAAAATGCAGGGTGCATAAGTCAGGGCACCCCTATGTTAAATTCCCATAGAGTCAGGCAGATTTTTATTTTTAAAAGCCAGTTATTTCATGGATCCAGGATAATATGCATCCTGATAAAGTTCCCTTGGCCTTTGGGATTAAAATATCCCCACATCATCACACACCTTCCACCACACCTAGAGATTGGCATGGTTTTACTTCAGTTAACCTAATAGCTGGTTTGATTTGCATTGAAAGATGATCTTATGGAAAGTACCCCATGCCAATCTCTATGCCAATCTTAAGGAAAAACATTTATTTATGATACATAATTCATTCACAAAGAAAATTTGTGTCCTTAAAGGTTGGAGTTTTCCTCATTTTTCTAATTAAGGCATTAAGATCAATATCCAAAAGATGATTTTTTATTCCTCTTTTTAGGCAACTTTAGCATGGGGGTCAAAACTTATTCACACCACTGTATAAAGATTCTTGAAATTTGTTTTTACATCAATAGTGATCTAAATGGAGCTGAATAACTACATTTCTCATTCTTTAAAGCAGAATGTGAATTTGCCTGATATTTAATTAGGTTTAAGCCGTTCATTACTGTGAAGCTGCTCTTGTATAAAGCACTACTGTATAAAGGTGACTTGGATAAAAATGTAAATGCGTAAGGATCATTTCTGCTGATAGTCCTTAATTATGAGACTAACTGAGGGATTTAAAATCTTAAGAAAAATCTCCTCAGGTTTCAAAGTAACCGTGAGAACGCGCCACCCAGGATTGTATTTTACAGCAAAAGTACTTCCCTGTAACTGTGACTCGTACTGATATAGTGACTGTACTGATGTGTGTTAAGTGTCACCTCAGTGAAGGGTTCTGCGGGGCCCGGAGGAGCTCCTCCACATGCACTGCCGCCCGTCAGGCTCTGCTGACTCAGGCTGGCACTGGCTCCTGCGTTGGGAATGTTGGGTAAAGATGCTTGACCCACGAGCTGAGGAACCTGGCTTTGGTCCACAGGCGCAGCAGAGCTGAACGTATCGAGGGCGGGTCTGAAAGGCGAGAGCTGCGCTATTGTGGGAGGCGGAGGTGCATTATGGCTGATGCAAGAGTTCTGGTCCACATGAACAGTTTGGCATTGGCTGGTCAAAGATCCCTGAAAAATACAGAATTTATCAATACATAAATGTAAAATTCACTTATACAAAGCTCAATGGATTTTCATATATAAATAAACAAAAAAACAGGAAAAGTATGACTTTTGGGTTTTGAATTAATTGTTATTATTTTAAATGTTTTGATTATTTTTAGAAAATCTGGCAACTATTCAATCTGATTGCTTTGGAGCGATTATTATTTTCAACAGACCCAACGCAGAATGCCAGTTGTTGTATTTAAAGTCACCACGAAATCAGAATTGACAATTCTATTTTTTATGGAATAGCCTAGTGCTTATATTATACGATTTATCTGTGCACATGGTTTTTTAAATTTGTGTGCCTCGTAATCTTGAATCAGCGACAGCTCTTCTCTGATAATTCACTCAAATAAGATCCACCAATAGCAAACCACATCAATCCAACCATCCAATCAATTCCCCAAAGACAAAATCAAACCCCTCCCTACAATTGTTATTGATGAAAATACTTTTGCAACTTGTTTCATGCGGTCTTTACCAAATAATAGCATGTGAAGCAGATATTGCAATATATTTAGATTTGATACATTTCTAACAAACGACATGCAGGCGAGTAAATAATAAAATAATTATCGGTAACACTTTATTTTACAGTTACAGTTTATGTAGTTACTATAGTATTTACTATAAATTGTGCATAATTGCATGCAACTAACCCTAACCCTATAGTAAGTACATGTAACTCAGTACTTAAATGTATAATTACACTGTAACACATACACCTTAAAATGATCATTTTGGGGTGGACTATCCATTTAAGACCTGTCCAAACAAACTGATATACTCTACCTGTATAGGCTGAGCTTGTTTAGTGGGCGGGGCTCCAACACACATAGAGGTGGGGTTTGGAGAGGGTGTGGCCTGACTGTGGGAATGTTGAGAGAGAGTGGCCATGGAGTTTACAGTGGGTTGTTGAGACACAGAATAGGCCTGCTGGTACTGGTGAATTGTTGGCAATGGAGGCGAGAACACTGGAGCAGCGAAGGGTGGGACGGGACATTGTGAGGGTATAGGGGAGGTGGAGGACTGGTGCGGGAACTGAGTTAGCGCAGAACTCTCTATCTGTGAACATGAAGTTGGCGAGATGTTGGGGTATGCTGGGACTGGCAGAGTGAGGGACGACTGCACAGAGGGAAAGCAGGAGGGGTACGGGTCACATCCAGGAGGAGGAATCCCAGCGGACTGAGCGGTGTTAAGGGAAGGAAACTGGAGGAGACAAAAGTGCATTGTAGCATGGGAAGAATAAGCCACCAACAAGTACAGAATGTCAAAGGTCCTTTGACAAAAAAAAGCATCTGACTTCTACATTAATCGGGATACATTCGAAAGCAGCATTTTCGTTTCAAAACGCTTGTCGTCCACACTAGCGTTTAAGCTTTTTCCAAGTTGCTACAATCATCTTTCTTACAGTGCATGTGTAAAACATAAAAGCTCCCTGGGATTCAGAGAGGCCAGATATAATAAAAGTTTTCACACTGTAATTCTGGGACAATCATTTTATTAGCAAAATATCTCCCTACTTGCCGGTGCATCCAGGACAGACTTGCCATTCCTAGCAGTCTAGAATGCAGTTGGCATCGTGTTTTGCAGCACAACAGCAACTGCAGTAAATTCTGACATTTGCAAAAATGTAATATGAAGAGTGGCTCAGACCAATGCACTTTAAAACTTTTGTCCCGGACAAGCCCCCATTATCAGGCGGATACCGTTATATCTATTGGTACAATATGAGTCACGCTTTAACATGCCTCGTTGTTTTTGAAAACCTCCTTTTTGCTGTCTACACTACAAAACGCTATTTTCAAATGTATCCACGTTGAAAAGAGTTTTCGCACGTCTCAGTGTGGATGAGAGGCCAAAATGTAGAGAAAAGCCATTTCAAATGTATCCGTATTTGTGTAGACATTGCCTAAGCAGAGGAACCGGCAGTAGGGTGTACCTGTGTGAGGTAAGCTGCCGGCTGTGGAGCGGGGACGGGTTGTGTATGAAGACTGGACGTGGACTGTACTCTTTGCTGCCAGTTGTCCATTAGTTGTGTCTGAATGGTGAGCCAACATGATTGAAAGAGAGAGAAATACAAGTGTGCAAAGAGAAAAACATGAGATGGTTTGCTCAATGTCAGTCTATTCTACAGTAGAGGTGTCCAATCCTGCTCTTGGAGATACTCCTTCCTGTTCACCTCCAACCCTAAACAACTATGCCTGTTAATTAAGATCTCAAGGAACACGTAATTACCAACATATGTGTTTTGTTGCAGGGTTGGGACTGAACTCTGTAGAACAGAGATCTTCAACCCTGCTCTTGTCCTGCTTTATCACATCTGCCAAGAACTTGATTATCTGGTTTGTGTGCATCTGATTAGAGTTTGAGCTAAATGAATCAGGAAAGTAGGTCTCCAGGAACAGGATGTGTTCAGCGAAATAAACAGTTAAGACATGTCTTACAAGCTTTCTTTAAGAGTGGTCACAAAAAATAAATAACTCAGTTTGTTTGTAATCCATTGATCACTGAGGGATCTAAGGAATGTCAATATTAACCTGTGTGTGTGTGTATGTTACTTTAAGAGAGCAATCATCCATCTGTGTTGAGTTTTATTTTCTTAGTTTTTTTTTTGTTTTAATTAAATATTTTATTATTAGTAATTTTTGTAGTTAATCTATTATAACATTTTTATAACATTTCCTTTCTATTGTTGTTTAATCTATGATTGTGTGGTTTCAAGGGATGTTCGGCTTTGAGTTAGAGATAAGAGAATGTCTACATTTCAAGGTTTTTAACATCACAGGATTGCTCTTTTCTGGCGATCTCTGTCAAACTCTCAGGCTGATAGAAGACTTATGGCAGGGATTTGGGGTCCAGGGTTGGATCTAATATTTTTGACATTGAGACCCATCCGATCTAACATTTTGGTTCAAGTCAGCAGGATATAAGCATGATCTAAAATTTTGGCGTAGTCGGCAGGATATCAGCCTGATCTAACATTTTGGCGTAGTCGGCAGGGTATCAGAAAACAGAAAATGTAACTGTTTACTTTTGGATGGTTGAAAAAACAGGCCAAAAGCTGGACAATATATAATTTTAGTGAAGCCTGGACAATGTTGCCTGGCCATTGCCTTGCCTGGATCTTGAGGGACAGAGTTAAGAACCCGATTTTATACTTGGCCAGAATTTGACAAGCAATGACAAATCTACAACTGCGACCCACATTAAGAAGCCCATGAGCTCAGTTAGCTAATCAAACCAAAGTGTGCCTAATCATTAGGAGTGTATATTCTGAATCAGCCACATTGGTATACACATACACACATTTGGTAGATAAGGTTGAAACGAGTGTACCTGCTGGAAAGATGGTGCAGAGCCTGCCTGGCTCAGATGCACAGGAGCAGTTTGCTGCATGTTGAAGTCGTGGAGTTGCCCGTCTGTTGTGGCATTCGCAGGTGTTTGCTGCAAAAGATGTATCGCAGGTGTGTGTTGAGGCTGTGCAGGTGCTGATGAGACATGCTGCACGCTAGAGGCTCCACTCTGGAAACTCTGATCCGCAGGCAGCGCTGCTTCTGATTTAGCTGCGACTGCAGTGTGCTGCGCAGTTGGAAATATCTGTGCATTGGCTAGCTCTGCTGTGGACGGATGGTAACTCTGCGGCACAAATGCAGGCTGATGCGACACATGGGCCTGAGTGTTCATCTCTGCAGTCTGACTTGAAGACCCAAGCTGCTGTGGATTCATGGCTTGTGGTGCAGTCAATATGCCTTGCAGAAGTGTCTGTCCGGCGGGCTGTGCAGGGGTCTCGGAGGACGCAGGAGGGTAAGCTACGGAAGGTGCCGCCTGACTTTGGACTCTCAAAACGGCAGGCTGCAAAAGAGTAAACAAACTATTGAAAAGCCATTCCATATAAATAAAACCACAGACACTTACAGCTGCAGTGGTGAGTAATATGAAGGCATGCAGGCGGAGCACACACGACCAGGTTAAGTGATAATGAAAACATGAAGCGATTCACAAAGATGGTTAGCAGCTTGGGCACAATCGTAAGCGTGGTTATTGGGGGGAAAATGGACTCCGTTAGAGAACAGCAGTACCCACAGGACTTGGTGAGTACGGTTAAAGAAGTGGAGAAGAACGCATTTAGATTTGAGCAAATTATACAAAGTCGTAGAGGCCCCTGGGAGCAACAGCAGAACCACCACAAAGGATAGAGAAAACCATAGCATTTCCTGGATTAGCAGCAGGGTTACACCTCGCCCTCAGTTGCGGAGTGACCTACCACATGAGTCAGGGAGTTTTCGCCAATACAAAAACTTGCTCTCCGACGGGATGCCAATTCCTCACCAGACGACTCTATGGCGGGCCCCTCGTCACTGTGGCTGCGTGCAGGCCGATAGGCCCCTCTTTCTGGCTTGGTCGGGGCTCTTAGAAAGGCAAGAGCAGACTGATGTTTGTGGCCTGTGATGCTCTCCAGAGATTTGTTGAGCTGGGAGAGGTTAGAGGTCTCATTGACAGAGCCCTTGCGAGTCCCTGCGGCTGAAAGCAGAAGTGAAGAATAGGGCGCATGTCTTCCATCTGCACAAGTCCCGAGTAGGAATAACGACAGGCAGGCCTGACATGGGGACGGTGGCCTGTGAGGGGTGGGGTTTAAAGAAAGGCGACGCCCCTTGCTCACAATTGAGACAGGCTCCTCCCCCTTTGTATCAGAGGACGTTTCCACTGATGTGTCGCTATAGCGGCGGGTTATAACAGGCAAGGGAACAGATAGCAAGTTCATAGAGCCGGAACTTTCGATTCGTCTTTCTGTCGACTCTGATTGGTCTGGTGGTATTTGAAGGAAGGAAGGGCTCGTGGGTCGGAGACGCTCATGTCTTCGGATTAAGTAATTTACAGAGGAACGTGCATGATGTGGACCCTGGAAGAAAAGCCACTTCTCCAAACTATTATCATGAAATGACAAACAAGAATCTCAAGCACTGGGCTAATAATCAAATAAAGGACACAACAAGATTTTTTGAGTGATGCTGAAATGTACAACTCCCCACGGCAAACAAAATGGTTGATGACCGACACGGTCCAGTTATGAATGATGGTCTATATTTAGTAAAATTCCTCTGTATAAAAGCTATGCAAGTACAAGCGTGCTAGCAGAGGAATGCAAACTCTACATATCAGTGGTTTATCACCAGTAACCATGATGGGAGAGTGATACGAACCTCCTGAGCTGTGGTGGAGACCGAATCCTGTAGTGACTGGTATATGACGCTGTGCCGACCACTGCTGTGCGAGTCAGAGTACACGGTTGAGCCGATGCCACTGTCAGCTAGAGGGAGACAGAGAGACAAACACGGACTGAACGACACACATCTGAGACGATCGATGCCACTTGTCTATCAGTTCCCTCAGATTGGATAGTTTGTGACAACAGTTTCATGTTAAAGTCAGCATAAAACGCAAGTTGAGCTACAGTAGTCAACAATTGGAGTGGATCAGAAAAGTTCAAAATATATGTATAACTTTGATGAAAGGTTTTGATCCACTTCAAATGTTGACTACTGTAGTTCACAGGCACAAATGCTTACATGTGGTGGATGTAGTCATGGCACTAAGTTGGCACACGCGGGCATGCTGGTCCACTTCAGTCTCTTCGGGCTCCACCACACAGGGTGGTTCGCAGAGGACTGGTACTGTCCCGGCTGGCATGGACGGGGCAGTGCCACCCTGAGAGGCCCTCGGCACCGTCCGCTCCCGGCGCCATTTGATCAGAGCCACCCTGTCACGGAGAGACTTGCCCACAATCTTTGCATCGCTCTCATGGAAGAAACCAGACTCGACCTGACAGAAGCACAGAGGAGGCTGGTGTGAACACGCTTTTTTAGAGCAGACAGAAGAAATGAGGGCTCTATTTTAGGAACAGAGGAATAAATCTTGCAGAATTAAAGGAAATGTTCACAAAGACAAGCAAGAGTCTGTGGGGGAAAGCTGCAACTAGACACACTGCGCACACACTGAGGAAAAATATGACTAATGAGACCAAGAATATTTGTTAAAAAAAAGAGAATAATAGGAAACTTCTGTTGTGCTGTCTCTAATAAATAGGTTGAAAAATATTCAATATATATATATATATATTATTAAAAAAAAAATACACTTTTTTATATACACAGAAAAATAATTGAATTATTTAATTATTGCAATATATAATCAGCAATGAGAATTACCAGAATTTAAAAAAGAATGCAAAGAAAAACAAAAACAAATCATGGCTGCTTTTGTTGTGCTAAAATTAATAAATTAAAATAATAAAACTGTTGAAATATAACATTTAATTAATATTATTTTAAAAGTTACATGGTTTTGATTTACATAAACAATATTGCTCCGTTAATACAAAGTTAAAAAAAATTATGAAGTACTAGAATTACTTTTAAAAAAGAAAAAATAAAGGAATCATGGCTGCTTTTGTTGTGCGGTCTCTAATACATTTAAATAAAAATAAGTGATTTAATAATATTTAATACATAATATTTTAAAAAAGTTATTTTTTTAAATAAAAAAAAATATTATTATTTTTTTGCTTTTGTTGCTGTCTCTAATAAATTAAATAAAATCTGAATAATTTACTGAATTTAATTTCTCCCTACAGAGAACTGTGGGGGGAAGAATAATTGTTCAAAAAAAGAGAATAAAAGGAAACTTCTGTTGTGCTGTCTCTACTAAATAGGTTGAAAAATATTCAATATATATATTATTTAAAAAAAAATGACAGTTATTTTTTTAAATAGAAAAATAATTGAATTATTTAATTATTGCAATACATAATCAGCAATGAGAATTACCAGAATTTAAAAAAGAAAACAAATCATGGCTGCTTTTGTTGTGCAATCTAAAATCAATAAATTCAAATAATACAATTTTTGAAATAGAACATTTAACTCATATTTTAAAAGTTACATGGTTTTTATTTACATTGTTAATATACCGTTAAAAAATTAAAAGTAGTAGAATTACTTTTAAAAAGAAAAAAAGGAATCATGGCTGCTTTTGTGGTGCGGTCTCTAATAGATTTAAATAAAAATAAGTTGATAATGAGATTTAATAATATTTAATACATAATATTTTCAAAAGTTTTTTTAAAATAAAAAAATACATTATCAGCAATGATCTGTTGGGCAATCATGGTTGCTTTTGTTGCGCTGTCTCTAATAAATAAAATAAAATCTGAATGATTTACTGAATTTAATTTCTCCCAACAGAGAATTGTGGGGGAGATGTACTTCACGTTCATTAAAAAGAAAGAACTGGTCATTTAGTTGTTTTTTTTTGTGAGATTCGCCCAAGTACGCTTAAACGCATGAAGAGTTTTGTGTAAATCTATGTGTGTAGTGAACAAGCGTCTGACAGGCTGAAGCGTGAGGCGTTTGGACTGTGGTTTGTGCCGATCCGGCCGACTCATTCTCCCTTTAGCAAACATTACAGTCCTCAGATTACGTAAATGATTACGGCACAAGGATTTTCCAACGCGAGCTGGGTCCAGGAGGCCGTAAGGCCACGGTTAAATATATATATAACATGCACAAGCAGCTTCGGCGGCTCTGCATGAGCGTATCTAGTGTGAAGATCTCAAACAGGTTTGGTCGTAACTCAAGCAGGGGATCCAGAGATCCTCAGAAAGCGAGGGCGGCTGTTATGATTCTCAAACTCAGGACCAGATCAAATCTAAGCAGGAAAACGGCATCGCAGGCGGAGGTTACGAGAGGACAGAACGGGGTTTGTTAAGGGAATAAACATCCAGCTCTCCAATGGAAAAATCCAAACATTATTCCATTTCAAAATCCAGTTGTGTTTCATAATGGAGGCGTCACATATCTCTAGATCAGCAGAGACGATAGAAACAGGAAGACATCAGATTTCATGAACCATGAAACTTATTGGCTGTTTTTGTGACGTTCACATACAGGTAAATCTGGGTGAAAGGTTATTTTCTAATGAACAGTTCTGGCTCAGAATAAACACACCTGAAGGTTGAAGATATCCATTCTGATATTGATTCTTCAGTCTTTGACTCAGTGCTGTTTTCAGCTGATGCGAGAGCTTAACTTGATATGAAACAAAACTTTCAAATTCTGTCACCGAATTGAGTCCATAAATGTGTGTTTGTGTGTGTGACAGATCATCTCTTCCTCTTAATTACTAGTTACAGCAGCAAATAAACAATGTTGAACGATGCAAAACAGCTTCCTGATATCAGTCATGTCTCATATAATCCATCAATGTCATGTGACGCCACACGGTCCTGTCCTGTTGCTTTAGTTTTGTTCTTGATGTTGAAATGCGGTTTTATATTATTGTGTTGCTGTATGATCGTTGCTGATATTTCTTGCAACGTGACTGAGATCTTGAAAGGTGCAAAATAGATAAAAAAGAATATGTATGCATTATATTAAATCATTATATTTTTACTTACAAGGCGTTTATTCAAACATACATTAAATATAGAAGAACCGGTTATGACAGCCACTGTTCATTTATAAATGTTTACGAATTAGAGTACAAACATGTCATTAAATGTTTGTATGCAAATTATTTGTTAATATTAAGCTGTAATATTACAGTAGTGTACCGACTGACAGGGTTCCCAAAATGCATCATTAGGAGAGATTGGCATGTTCTGTACCTGATATACGTCCAAATCGAATCAGAATTGAATCGCAATCTGGTGAATCGGACTCGAATCAAATCATGAGATTTATATTAGAAATGTATATTGATATTAATATATGAGGAAGCTGAATTCAGATCTGTGTCGCCCACATTGGCATGACGCACATCTGCAGTGATCTCTGATATCTTCCAGCGGATGAGCCGCGGCTAACGCTGGTGAAGTCAGTGAAACACACACACACACACACACACACACACACCATCTCCTGTGCCACGGCTTCAGGAACCTCCTTCTCCAGGTCGAAGCTGAACTCGATGGCTCCTCCGTCCCTGTATTTGCCCTTCAGCCGGCGAGGATCCTCCACCCACAGCTTCAGCGCGATGGACACCTTCACCCCGTCGTCTTCCTCCGCCAGCTCCACCCGCACACCCGTGTCCTCGGCGAAGAACGCGTGGTTCAACAGGTCCTTGATGGTGTAGCTGTGGACAGAGAGACGCTTACCAAATACTAAACTCGCAAATACATGTGTTCTTGTTTTAACCATGAACCCACTTCATTTTTTATCAGTTTTTCAGTCTTAATATCTGAAGTCATTTTTCTTCTCCAGTAAATGCATCTTGATTTAAGAATGTTTGGATATTTATATAAATCAAGACAAAAATATAATAATTTCTAGGTTTTTACTTTATTGCAGTTATTAACCAACTTTGCATGTGTGGATGACACCACAGAAGACCATTGACCAAAATTATTTATGAACACTATTTTATATAAAATATATATATTATAAAACACATTGAACTCTAAAACTGCTAGAAAACAGACACACACACACACTAAAAGTAAAATTTATTTTAAAGTTATAAAAGTGCGCGCTTAAAATAGCAATAGCCACATAATTTATCCAATTGGCTCTATAATATGCAATAGAATTTGTTTTATTGGCCAAACCTGAGGAAAATGCACTGGTCTTTTTTATTTTATTTTTTTATTTTTTCGTTTTGAAGTCTTGCCAACAGAATGAAAGCCTATTAATAAAGATTGCAACATTTTACAGTTAAATGGCCCTGCAATAAGAAAATGTGGTTTTAATGGGTTTCAATGCGGACAAATTGTCCAAAAGGCGCTGAGAGGAGCTATTCTGTGTATCTAATGCCAAATAGATTTATTTTAAAAGAAATGTATGCAGTTGGCATTAACACAAAGGCAAAATGATCAAAAAACAAAACCGAAAAGACAAAAATGTCCAGAAGGGTTAAACAACTCCATATATTGTACAGCGAGTCCAGAAGCCGCCAGTAACTCACCGCTCCTCCTTCTTCTGACAGATACACTCGCCGATGATCTCCTTCACCTCAGGGTCCATCACCTTGTTATAGCTGGCAGGCTTCACTCCCTGAGACACACATAAGAGCCGTTACTTTAGGACACAATCACACGTGTGTGTGTGTGTGTGTGTGTGTGTGAGGAATCACTAATTTCAATCACAGTCACAGTATTCTTCATCAGTGAAAGGAAATGATTGCTCTAGTGTTGAAGGGCAGTGTGACTTACACTGGTGACTTTGCGGTAGATCTGCGCGGCGTTCTGGCACTCGGAGTACGGGTATTCAGACGTGGCCATCTCCAGCATGCACATGCCGAACGCATAGACGTCCACGGCCTCGTCGTAATGCTCCTCGTACATCTCCGGGGCCATGAACTCCGGCGTACCTGCCAAAGCAAACGATGAAATCATCTTCTGATTCACAGAGAACAGACACCATCTTATAACAGCACTCAATAGAAACAAACATCTTCTAACAGCACTCAATAGAAACAAAAACGGTCTCATAGCAGCACTCAATAGAAACAAACGCCATCTTATAATAGCACTCAATAGAAACAAACACCATCTTATAACAGCACTCAATAGAAACAAACACCATCTTATAATAGCACTCAATAGAAACAAACACCATCTTATAGCAGCACTCAATAGAAACAAACACCATCTTATAATAGCACTCAATAGAAACAAACACCATCTTATAGCAGCACTCAATAGAAACAAAAACTGTCTCATAGCAGCACTCAATAGAAACAAACACCATCTTATAACAGCACTCAATAGAAACAAACACCATCTTATAATAGCACTCAATAGAAACAAACACCGTCTTATAGCAGCACTCAATAGAAACAAACACCATCTTATAATAGCACTCAATAGAAACAAACACCATCTTATAGCAGCACTCAATAGAAACAAACACCGTCTTATAACAGCACTCAATAGAAACAAAAACTGTCTCATAGCAGCACTCAATAGAAACAAACAACGTAACAGCACTCAATAGAAACAAACACCATCTTATAATAGCACTCAATAGAAACAAACATCTTCTAACAGCACTCAATAGAAACAAACACCGTAACAGCACTCAATAGAAACAAACACCATCTTATAATAGCACTCAATAGAAACAAACACCATCTTATAACAGCACTCAATAGAAACAAACACCATCTTATAGCAGCACTCAATAGAAACAAACACCATCTTATAGCAGCACTCAATAGAAACAAACACCATCTTATAACAGCACTCAATAGAAACAAACACCATCTTATAACAGCACTCAATAGAAACAAACACCATCTTATAACAGCACTCAATAGAAACAAACACCATCTTATAGCAGCACTCAATAGAAACAAACACCATCTTATAGCAGCACTCAATAGAAACAAAAACTGTCTCATAGCAGCACTCAATAGAAACAAACACCATCTTATAACATCACTCAATAGAAACAAACAGTCTTATAATAACTCAATAGAAACAAACACCATCTTATAATAGCACTCAATAGAAACAAACACCATCTTATAATAGCACTCAATAGAAACAAACACCATCTTATAACATCACTCAATAGAAACAAACAGTCTTATAATAACTCAATAGAAACAAACACCATCTTCTAATAGCACTCAATAGAAATAAACACCGTCTTATAGCAGCACTCAATAGAAACAAACACCATCTTCTAATAGCACTCAATAGAAATAAACACCATCTTCTAATAGCACTCAATAGAAATAAACACCATCTTCTAATAGCACTCAATAGAAACAAACACCGTCTTATAATAAATTCATAATTAATAAAAACACTGGATATGAAGGACACCGCCTCACCGATCACACTCTTGGCGAAGGAGGCTCTTTTGAGCGTAGCCAGACCCAGATCGCCGATCTTGACGCTGCCCGTGGGGCCCGTGATGAAGATGTTGTCACACTTCAGGTCCCGGTGGATGATGGGAGGAGTGCGCGTGTGCAGGAAATGCAGACCTTTGAGGATCTGACGGCACCAGCTGCGCAAAACCTTGGGTTTCATCACCTTAAAGCGCTTCAGGTACCTGGAGAACATAATGAGATACTGATAAACCAGCATTACTTGTATTGTAATCATCACACCACTGCTTAACATGTACGTTTAGCTGAATACATGACATTAAACACACAATATCTGCATATCACTGTCATATGGACGTTATATGACACACTTATCTCTGAGAACAGAATACTTATTTAACCGTTACATTGAAAACAAGCCTTTTCTGTAAAGCTGCTTTCACTGGCCAGACCCAAATAAGACAAAAGAGCATCATAAAAAGCACCGTAAAACTTTTTTTTAAATACACAGATCGGGAATCAAGTGTGGTAGTGTTTTGTGTAACTCTCCTCACGTTTTGAGCGTTCCTGACGTCATGAGCTCTGTGACCAGAACGATGCACTTCTTGCCCTTCAGCGGACACTCCCAGAAGTCATAGAAGCGCACGATATTCGGGTGCTGGAGACCCTTCAACATCTCGGCCTCTTCTTTAAAGCGCTGCCGCTCCACCTTCGACAGCTTGCGGTCCTGAAACACACACATCAAATTTTCATTTTAATTAAACTGCATGCAAACATACTTTATCACTAGAAAACTGAAAATAACTAGTTAAACATGAACATATTATGCACTATTTTAAGACATTTACCCTTATCTAGAAGCTTTTTTGCTGTAATGGTTCTTTAAAATTGAGTCTAGAACCGTATAGTTCTAGAACCCACTGAACCTAGAAGTGGAATGAGAACACAGATACTGTATATAAACATGAAACATCAAACCGAAGAGAAAGCTCATCCTCCATCATACAGTAAGTGTGATATTAAATCACACTCACTCACTCACTCACTCAGTCACTCACTCACTCGCTCGCTCACTCACTCACTCACTCACTCGCTCGCTCGCTCGCTCACTCACTCACTCACTCACTCACTCACTCACTCACTCACTCACTCAGTCACTCACTCACTCGCTCACTCACTCACTCACTCACTCACTCACTCAGTCACTCACTCACTCACTCAGTCACTCACTCACTCACTCACTCAGTCACTCACTCACTCGCTCACTCACTCACTCACTCACTCACTCAGTCACTCACTCACTCACTCACTCAGTCACTCACTCACTCACTCACTCACTCAGTCACTCACTCACTCACTCACTCACTCACTCACTCGCTCACTCGCTCACTCACTCACTCACTCACTCACTCAGTCACTCGCTTACTCACTCACTCACTCACTCACTCACTCACTCGCTCACTCGCTCACTCACTCACTCACTCACTCACTCACTCACTCACTCACTCACTCACTCAGTGATCCTGCAGTGAAACGGAGATCGAGAGGCTGAACGCAGAAACTCTTGATATGATCACGTATCGAGTGTTTCTGTTTGAATAAGTGGGCTCTTCCTCTGCCGTCTCGTGCCAGTTTACACACACATTAACCGTACATTTAATCATATAGAGACTGTGAGAGGTTTTTCCGTTTGTGTGTGTGTGTGCGTCTGTGAGAGGTTTTTCTGTGTGTGTGTGTGTGTGTGTGTGGTTGTTCCAGCTCCAGCAGCCTCTCATGAATAATGCAGTGTTTCAGGGAGTGTTTGAGTTTCTACATGCAGCAGATCACGCTGTTAGTCGGGGCTAGTTCTCGGTGTTAGTCAGGGCTAGTTCTCGTGTTAGTCAGGGCTAGTTCTCGGTGTTAGGCGGGGCTAGTTCTCGGTGTTAGGCGGGGCTAGTTCTCGGTGTTAGGCGGGGCTAGTTCTCGGTGTTAGTCAGGGCTAGTTCTCGGTGTTAGTCAGGGCTAGTTCTCGGTGTTAGTCAGGGCTAGTTCTCGGTGTTAGTCAGGGCTAGTTCTCGGTGTTAGTCGGGGCTAGTTCTCGGTGTTAGGCGGGGCTAGTTCTCGGTGTTAGTCAGGGCTAGTTCTCGGTGTTAGTCAGGGCTAGTTCTCGGTGTTAGTCGGGGCTAGTTCTCGGTGTTAGGCGGGGCTAGTTCTCGGTGTTAGTCGGGCTAGTTCTCGGTGTTAGTCAGGGCTAGTTCTCGGTGTTAGTCAGGGCTAGTTCTCGTGTTAGTCAGGGCTAGTTCTCGGTGTTAGTCAGGGCTAGTTCTCGGTGTTAGTCAGGGCTAGTTCTCGGTGTTAGTCAGGGCTAGTTCTCGGTGTTAGTCAGGGCTAGTTCTCGGTGTTAGTCAGGGCTAGTTCTCGTGTTAGTCGGGGCTAGTTCTCGGTGTTAGGCGGGGCTAGTTCTCGTGTTAGTCAGGGCTAGTTCTCGGTGTTAGTCAGGGCTAGTTCTCGGTGTTAGTCAGGGCTAGTTCTCGGTGTTAGTCAGGGCTAGTTCTCGGTGTTAGTCAGGGCTAGTTCTCGGTGTTAGTCAGGGCTAGTTCTCGGTGTTAGTCGGGGCTAGTTCTCGGTGTTAGGCGGGGCTAGTTCTCGGTGTTAGTCAGGGCTAGTTCTCGGTGTTAGTCAGGGCTAGTTGTCGGTGTTAGTCGGGGCTAGTTGTCGGTGTTAGTCGGGGCTAGTTCTCGGTGTTAGTCGGGGCTAGTTCTCGGTGTTAGTCGGGGCTAGTTCTCGGTGTTAGTCGGGCTAGTTCTCGGTGTTAGTCGGGCTAGTTCTCGGTGTTAGTCGGGGCTAGTTCTCGGTGTTAGTCGGGGCTAGTTCTCGGTGTTAGTCGGGGCTAGTTCTCGGTGTTAGTCGGGGCTAGTTCTCGGTGTTAGTCGGGGCTAGTTCTCGGTGTTAGTCGGGGCTAGTTCTCGGTGTTAGTCGGGGCTAGTTCTCGGTGTTAGTCGGGGCTAGTTCTCGGTGTTAGTCGGGGCTAGTTCTCGGTGTTAGTCGGGGCTAGTTCTCGGTGTTAGTCGGGGCTAGTTCTCGGTGTTAGTCGGGGCTAGTTCTCGGTGTTAGTCGGGGCTAGTTCTCGGTGTTAGTCGGGGCTAGTTCTCGGTGTTAGTCGGGGCCAGTTCTCGGTGTTAGTCGGGGCCAGTTCTCGGTGTTAGGCGGGGCTAGTTCTCGGTGTTAGTCGGGGCTAGTTCTCGGTGTTAGTCGGGGCTAGTTCTCGGTGTTAGTCGGGGCTAGTTCTCGGTGTTAGTCAGGGCTAGTTCTCGGTGTTAGTCAGGGCTAGTTCTCGGTGTTAGTCAGGGCTAGTTCTCGGTGTTAGTCAGGGCTAGTTCTCGGTGTTAGTCAGGGCTAGTTCTCGGTGTTAGTCAGGGCTAGTTCTCGGTGTTAGTCAGGGCTAGTTCTCGGTGTTAGTCGGGGCTAGTTCTCGGTGTTAGTCGGGGCTAGTTCTCGGTGTTAGTCGGGGCTAGTTCTCGGTGTTAGTCGGGGCTAGTTCTCGGTGTTAGTCGGGGCTAGTTCTCGGTGTTAGTCGGGGCTAGTTCTCGGTGTTAGTCGGGGCTAGTTCTCGGTGTTAGTCGGGGCCAGTTCTCGGTGTTAGTCGGGGCCAGTTCTCGGTGTTAGTCGGGGCTAGTTCTCGGTGTTAGTCGGGGCTAGTTCTCGGTGTTAGTCGGGGCTAGTTCTCGGTGTTAGTCAGGGCTAGTTCTCGGTGTTAGTCGGGGCTAGTTCTCGGTGTTAGTCGGGGCTAGTTCTCGGTGTTAGTCGGGGCCAGTTCTCTGTGTTAGGCGGGGCTAGTTCTCGGTGTTAGTCGGGGCTAGTTCTCGGTGTTAGTCGGGGCTAGTTCTCGGTGTTAGTCGGGGCTAGTTCTCGGTGTTAGTCGGGGCTAGTTCTCGGTGTTAGTCGGGGCTAGTTCTCGGTGTTAGTCGGGGCTAGTTCTCGGTGTTAGGCGGGGCTAGTTCTCGGTGTTAGGCGGGGCTAGTTCTCGGTGTTAGTCGGGGCTAGTTCTCGGTGTTAGTCGGGGCTAGTTCTCGGTGTTAGTCGGGGCTAGTTCTCGTGTTAGTCGGGGCTAGTTCTCGGTGTTAGTCGGGGCTAGTTCTCGGTGTTAGTCGGGGCTAGTTCTCGGTGTTAGTCGGGGCTAGTTCTCGGTGTTAGTCGGGGCTAGTTCTCGGTGTTAGTCGGGGCTAGTTCTCGGTGTTAGTCGGGGCTAGTTCTCGGTGTTAGTCGGGGCTAGTTCTCGGTGTTAGTCGGGGCTAGTTCTCGGTGTTAGTCGGGGCTAGTTCTCGGTGTTAGTCGGGGCTAGTTCTCGGTGTTAGTCAGGGCTAGTTCTCGGTGTTAGTCAGGGCTAGTTCTCGGTGTTAGTCAGGGCTAGTTCTCGGTGTTAGTCAGGGCTAGTTCTCGGTGTTAGTCAGGGCTAGTTCTCGGTGTTAGTCGGGGCTAGTTCTCGGTGTTAGTCAGGGCTAGTTCTCGGTGTTAGTCGGGGCTAGTTCTCGGTGTTAGTCAGGGCTAGTTCTCGGTGTTAGTCGGGGCTAGTTCTCGGTGTTAGTCGGGGCTAGTTCTCGGTGTTAGTCGGGGCCAGTTCTCGTGTTAGGCGGGGCTAGTTCTCGGTGTTAGTCGGGGCTAGTTCTCGGTGTTAGTCAGGGCTAGTTCTCGGTGTTAGTCAGGGCTAGTTCTCGGTGTTAGTCAGGGCTAGTTCTCGGTGTTAGTCGGGGCTAGTTCTCGGTGTTAGTCGGGGCTAGTTCTCGGTGTTAGTCAGGGCTAGTTCTCGGTGTTAGTCAGGGCTAGTTCTCGGTGTTAGTCAGGGCTAGTTCTCGGTGTTAGTCAGGGCTAGTTCTCGGTGTTAGTCGGGGCTAGTTCTCGGTGTTAGTCAGGGCTAGTTCTCGTGTTAGTCAGGGCTAGTTCTCGCTGTTAGTCAGGGCTAGTTCTCGTTTTAGTCAGGGCCAGTTCTCGGTGTTAGTCAGGGCTAGTTCTCGTGTTAGTCAGGGCTAGTTCTCGCTGTTAGTCAGGGCTAGTTCTCGCTGTTAGTCGGGGCTAGTTCTCGGTGTTAGTCGGGCTAGTTCTCGGTGTTAGTCGGGGCTAGTTCTCGCTGTTAGTCAGGGCCAGTTCTCGGTGTTAGTCAGGGCTAGTTCTCGTGTTAGTCAGGGCTAGTTCTCGCTGTTAGTCAGGGCTAGTTCTCGGTCAACATTCAGATCCGAGTTCTGATCCAGAGAGTCGGCGTCATGAGTAGATGTGAAACTGCTTCACTAACAGTCTTTCAACATCTCACTATCATTATATCTGTCTTACAATCACTCAGATGATCACAGGAGTGCTGGAGAAAGATTATAGATCAGATATAAACACTGATAAAATAAAGCAAATCAGCTTTTGAAAGTAACTTGAGGCTTCACATAAAGATAGTATTGATTACATCGTTACTCCAGTAGGGGGAGACAAGAGACTTTAAATATGTGCTTGTCATTGAATTTAATTCATAAAGTTTGTTGACACACTGATTTATCCAGTAATGAAACAAGTGAAGACTTTATGAGCGAGTCGTTGAATCATTCACTCAAACTGATTTTTTTATATTCATATTAAGCAATTAACATTTTGTCAGACTCAGGACCTCTAGTAAAATTACGTGTTATTTTGTTTAGTTGTCCATTTAGAATTGGAGAATCATGATATATTTTCATATTTTAAACAAAAAAATTGTTTATCATTATTTATTTGTTTATATTATTTATCAGGCTTTACTCAAATTTTTCAAACACACCAAATGCTGATAACAAGTCAAGACAACTCCCAAAGAGGCTTTAACTACATTCACCATTTTATACTCTTAAAATCAGTGCGGTCAGCATGTGTATAAGTGCAGATAAAGGATTGAAGAAGTGCTGGCGAGTCATTGAGAGACGGACACATCTAAATACGGGCTGGGATCGATCAATGCGCTTCTGTTTCTGAACAGCTCTATTAGCTCGACCACTGACTGACACACACTCCCAGAAGGCATTTATTGATAGAGCTGTAGACATACTCACAGATGAGCACACAGCAGATCTGAGAGTACGCGTGTGTTTCCATTCCCAGAGGCAAACGACAAACCCACAGTTACATCACAAAATCTGTGTGTGAAAGATGACTGCAGGATTCAAACATCATTAATAAAAAACTGAGAAGCGTTCCTCCGTCAACTGCAGCCTACTCACGTTCGTATGTAGAGATAGTTAGTTAAAGAGGTGAACAGACAAAAAAAAATAGCAGTAAAAAAATCCGTTAGATTTAAAGTAAAAAAAAAAACAGGTAAATCTGGTTGCCGGAAATTTATCATAAAAATATAGTAGTAACATTTTAGGTTTTACAGACTTAACTTAAATTTACACTACAATAAACATATTTCATTATGTGATAATATTATTTTACCAACCTATTGAAGTATTAATATTAGTTTTGTATGATTTTAACACACTGGCAACCACCAATCACATTGGTGCTGACTAGTCACATGATGAATCAAAGCTTTTCACAGCTGAGATAATTATACTAATATATAGCAGCTGCATATAGTTATCATTCACACACACACTAAACACCATCATGGTAACACACATGAAATCTAAAAAAAAATGCAATAAACATTAATTTAACAACATTAAATATAACATAAAACCCTATTGTACAGAACTGATTAGAAAAAAAACTAAGAAAAACTATAAAGAAACAGTTATTTCAACAAAAACACATCAAATGTGAAGACGCAGGGAATTGTGTGAATGTTAATTAACTTTTTTTTTCTGTAAATTATACGACTTTCTGTTTCACTTCTAAAAACGGTATTTTACTGTAAAATGACATTAAATGTACGGTTAGATCAATCACAGTTATTCACTGTATAGAACTTTCTGTTAACCAATTAACAGTTTTTAGTCTTTTACCGTTAAAAATCACAATAACTTTTTACAGATCAAGTCTTTCTGTGCTTGCCGTGAACTCGCCGGCGTTCAGTTTCTTCCACACAGCGGACTCCTGATTCAGCGCTTTACTGCAGCCCTCAATGAACATGTGTGTGTGTGTGTGTGTGTGTCTGACCACGGGCCTGACTGACACACTGACCTGATTCAGGACACAGGCCTGTGAATGCCCAGGTCATCAGGTCAGGGGTCACGGTGTGACCCTGACCTTCGGGACAGCCTCTATGACACTCGCTGACGAGGTTCTGCTGTGACAGAGATATGGTGCATGTCCATCTACTTTAAATATACCGTGTCATCATCAATAACCTCCAAAACATACTAATTGGGAAGGATAATTAAGCAAGCACAAACAATAATCAGAATAATCAGAATCTGGAATAAATCCATGGTTGTGTTCACAGAAGCAACCCAAATGAACAGGACAGAACAGGTCACACTATAAGTTACAATACAAACAGTTATGTCTCCAAGCTGTAATTTCGTCTGAACACCGGCGAACTGCTGGACACTTCTGTCCACGAACATTACATTTATGCGTTCGGCAGACACTTATGCGAAGCGCCTGACATGATAAACTACATGAATTATCACATTAACATCTTAAAGTTTCCCTATTCTGCTTGATGTGTTTCAGGCTCTACTAGAACAGGAATGTTGATTATTCTCCTCATATTCTCCATTGTTGCGGCTCCTCTCTTCCCAGTCTGTCAGTAACGCTCTGTTTACTTCCTGTCTCTATGAAGCCCCTCCTCCTGAAAGCACACTGTGCTCTGATTGGTCGGCTGGAGCAGTGTTTTGTGATTGGTCGAGCGCTTCAAGTGTGTTTAAGAAATGCCCCGCCCCTTTCCATAACCTCCAGTTTAACACACTACTAAGTAACTCAACCAGGCCCCGCCCCTTTATTCTGCACATTAATTATTTAAAGGTGCAGTATGTAGCTTTTTCACTCTACTAAAGCATAAACATACCCAAACATGTTTGCATATATTGAGGACACATGCTGAGCGCACACACTCGTTTCTTTTAAAAACACACCCAGTGATTTTACTCTGAAATGTGTTTCCAGGCTGGAATGTTTGTTATTGTTTTGGTCTGTCCGCTGCGCGTCTGGATCTGGCGACCCGTGAGCGTCGAGTCTGAGGAGGCGGGGCGGGGGATATTCTGAATTGACCTGCAGTACCCGTTTCCACCACTAGCTGTCATTCTTACAGACTGCACCTTTAAATGAGGAATATTGTGACGTGTTCGTTCCCGGAAGAAAGTCAAAACTACAATGGAGGCGTTTCATGAGTTCAGAAACACCGACACTGATATCACCGACTGATATATCAATCAACACTAAGACCTATGATGAGGAGCTTTAATTATCACACACACACACACATGATTCATAACAGCTCGACAGTAGGATCCAGGTTTTCTAATAATGTCAACATCTTCCTGAATCACAGCGGCAGTGATTGGGTCACTAATGACCTCATGACAGAAATCGTGATAGACAACATGTCAATAACACACACACACACACACCTGTTCCAAATAGGTCTGAAACAAAAGGGTCATTACAGCTGGACCTGTGACGGACAGCGCTGACCCAGTTAGCAGCGTTTCTGCTCGTAATCCTCCCAAACACACCAGCAGACAAACCCTGACACGACCCGAGTGTGTGGGTGTGTGATCACCATCAGCAACGCCACATTCCAGCTCCAGATGCTTATCGACAGAGCACACACACACACACACACACAAACAGAAGACGCTTGTTAAAGGATTAGTTCACTTCACCACGCCATCAAGATGTTCATGTGTTTCTTTCTTCGGTTGAAAAGAAATGAAGGTTTTTGAGGAACACACTCCAGGATGTTTCTCCATATAGTGTCTTCAATGGGGTCCAACGGGTCGAAGGTCAGATGTGAGTTTCAGCTTCAAAGTCTCGACACGATCATTAGTGGTTAAAGTATATAAATGTGTATTTTGTTGTAAATGTCGCTGGTTTGTCTAGATCAGACTCTTATCCCTCGGCTGGATCGTGTCGAGGACTCACATCTGGACCTTCGACCCGTTGGACCCCATTGAAGACACTATATGGAGAAACACCCTGGAGTGTGTTCCTCAAAAACCTTCTTTTCTTTTCCACTGAAGAAAGAAACTACATTTTAGTTCTGAAGTTAAACCATCAAAATATGAGGAAAATATATATTTTAAATATGAGGGAAGAACTAAACACTAAACTTGGTTACCGTATTTTACTGACAAAAACTACAGCTACAGGTTTTTCTTTACTATGGGGGAAAAAAAAGCATTGAAAAACAAAACCAGCAGTATGCTTGAACTAAACATAATCAGTTATTAATATTACACTGGTTCTCTCTTGTTTTTGCATGTTCATTATTTGGTTGTATGAGAGTCTGGCCAAAAATGATGTTGCACATTTGTCATTGTGTCATCACAAATAAAACATTCAACTCCAACGTCCCCGTCATCAACGCCTGAGATCAATGTTCAGAGTCAGACTAAACACTTTCAAACACTAAACGTTCATCCCTTCGGATCTGAGGAGTGTGAGAGCCATTGTTCTACTTATCAAATACCAAAAGCCACCATGAAATGCAACTTTGTAATTCAACTTGCAAATGTTTCCAGCAGGAATCCAGGATTTTTGCATTTGTGGTTTCAGTTGGCGCGACTCATAAAAACGATTTGAGCCAAGGCACTCCACAATTAAAGTATAAAACAGAAAAAGCCATTGTTTTTGCTTTTAATTTGTAAAGTGCCTTTGCTGGGTAGGTTTTTATGAGTCACATTTTCCCACATCCAAACAAATTTATAAAACGTAAAAAAACAAAAAAAATCCCGAGACTGGTTAACAGAGATCATCGCCCCCTAGTGGGGAACCACTGAAATGTCAAAACGCTTCATAGCAGTTATAACAAAGGCTAAATTACTGTAATCACATGACTTTGGCAGTTTGATACGCGAGACGAAATAATGACTCGAAACAAAGGATTCGAAGCTTCACAAACAACATGAACAACAGAAACACACCTGAAGCTCACACCACGCCACCTCCACCCAGGTGTCCGTGTCCAGGCCCTTGTAGACGGTCTTGAAGGACCCGCGTCCGATCTCGATGTCGAACTTGAGGAAGCGTCCTCCCGGAGAGGTGGCGATAGCCTTCATCCCAGCATCCTCCTCGTTCTCCTCGCTGGCCGCCTTCATGCTCATCTTCCCCGCATCCGCTTTAGGGTCGGCCGTCTCCTTCTCATCCGCACTGGTGCTGTCCAGGTCTTTCTGGCCCTTCTGGCTCTCCGTGCTCGACCCTTCGTGTAGGCCGGAGCGTACGGCCAGAGTGCGGTCCACTATGGTGCGCAGGTTGATGCTGAGCATCTTCTTCTGCTCCTCGCTCTCGGGAGCGCAGTCGTCCGCCGGGTGCTCGTCGTGATCCGCGAACCACAGGCTCCGGCGGATGAACCTGTGGTGTTTGGAGGACGGGTATGAGCTCGGGTCACTGCCCGCCCGCACCAGCGCAGAGCTCTCCAGCTGATTGACATTTCCCTCGCTGATGGTCTCGTAGATGTTCAGCTTGAGCTCACACTGGGAGTTTGGCACCGATGAAGCGCAGCAGTCGGCTTTGGGCTCCATGCTTTAAATCGATCGCACGCTGGTGCAGCACTGACGCATGTTCCCGAACAGCAGCGATATCACATCTGTGGGAATACAATATACATGCATCATTAATGCATTCAGGGCAGAGTCGGACACAACTGCTAATCTTAATGTGACTAATAACAATATGCACAACTTGCCTCCGTGTGCAAAAGGTGTCACTTTTTGGTGCAAATGTTCATTTAATAGGCCACTACATTTTTGAAAACTTACATGAATTAACATGTTTTCTGCCCTGTTTTAAGACAAAACAAATCATAAATTTGGCAAGAAAAAAAAAAAGACAACCCAATTAGAAAATTGTAATTTGCTCAAATTAGTACCGTACCATAAATTGGCTAGTTTTCGTTTAAATCTGAAGTAAAAAAAGGTGGCATCTCATTAAATATGCATATATTTGTTTCCCATATTGCATCAGAAGTGATAGACTGCACACAAGACACGTTTTCTTAATTTGATGAACAATCAAGTCACTGTCAAAAGGTTCCCAAGAAATATTTTTTTTTTTAACATTTCGTGGGTTATATAAAAATACATATTTTAACAAAAAATGCTATTTTACCATATACACATAATGTAATGTGGTTCTAAACAAGCGGCTGTGAGAGATGATATTATTTACTGCATGAGCAAACGTCACTTTAAGAGCGTGGCCTCTAAATGCTAATAGCTAATCGACGGAGACTTCATCATATTGTGGTAATTCAACATTGTTAAATGCCTGTCCTCTCAGTGCTGATGAATGAACGCTTGACATGTTGATGAGCGCGAGTCACTGCAGGTGCGACACATATAAGCTGTATTATCCTCCATCATATGCAACGAACATAAAGCAGAGATGCGAACTCACTTGTGCTGGTGATATGTGGTGAAATCTCTGGGTTTGGTGGTGAGAGATGATCGGCGGAGATGACGAGCACACCGCCCGCAACACGCAATAAATCACGCGTCAATCGCGCTTTGCGCATTTGCAGTAGAGTCGTGTTGTTGAAGTCCAGAGCCAACAGTCGAGCTTTAAACACACGCTCGTGTCTCACTCACCTCGGCATCCCTGGAAATTTCCCCGTGTGAAAAGGACTGCTGAATCCCTGCTTTAGTGCTCCGGCTCCTCCACGCCCATCTGAGACCGAGCGCCAACGACATGGAACATTCCAAACATTCCTCTCCTCATTACAGACACCTTACCTTTCACACGTAACGTTACATCATCATCATCATCATCATCAGGTCGACCCTCGCTTTTTAAAGGAGTAGTGGACTCATGAATAAAAACCTTGTCCCCTCTCTCTTCTCCCTTGTGCACATTGTTACTGCAGAAGGAGATATTCTCTTTTCCATTTGACAATACAAAAAAAAGTGACCCATATTCATCCGACTCATGCATAATAGTTCAAGTCTCCTGTTCATCACTTGGAACATCTCCTGCAAGTCATGTGGACTGCAATTGTGGTGTTTCTTGACAGCTCCGGGTCATGCTATTCCACAAAAAAAGTCTTAGGATTGAGGGTGAGTATTAGATCGTGAAAGTGTAAATTTTGGGGGCAATGATTCCTCATTTAGTCATGTTTAAAGGGTTATTTCACCCAAAATTAAAATGCTGTGATTAATTACTCTCACTCATGTCGTTCCAAACACATAAGCCTTTCGTTCATCTTCATTACACAAATGAAAATATTTTAATGAAATCTGACAGTCCCACCTTTGACAGTTACGCAATAGCTTTGATGCTTTAAAAAGTTTATAAAGGAGGATAATGAAACTAATCCATATGAATTGACCAGTTTAGTCCAAATTTTCTGTCCGCATTATATGGTGAACAGATTTAAGTTTTAATTCAAACATTAATAAGCTAACATAAACAGAAACTCAAACGAACCTGCTTGAAACACGAGGATGAACCTCATTGGCTCTTGCTGAAGCTCAAACGTGATGCGTAACACGAGGATGAACCTCATTGGCTCTTGCTGAAGCTCAAACGTGATGCGTAACACGAGAATGAACCTCATTGGCTCTTGCTGAAGCTCAAACGTGATGCGTAACACGAGGATGAACCTCATTGGCTCTTGCCGAAGCTCAAACGTGATGCGTAACACGAGAATGAACCTCATTGGCTCTTGCTAAAGCTCAAACGTGATGCGTAACACGAGAATGAACCTCATTGGCTCTTGCCGAAGCTCAAACGTGATGCGTAACACGAGGATGAACCTCATTGGCTCTTGCTGAAGCTCAAACGTGATGCGTAACACGAGAATGAACCTCATTGGCTCTTGCTGAAGCTCAAACGTGATGCGTAACACGAGGATGAACCTCATTGGCTCTTGCTGAAGCTCAAACGTGATGCGTAACACGAGAATGAACCTCATTGGCTCTTGCTGAAGCTCAAACGTGATGCGTAACATGAGAATGAACCTCATTGGCTCTTGCTAAAGCTCAAACGTGATGCGTAACATGAGAATGAACCTCATTGGCTCTTGCTGAAGCTCAAACGTGATGCGTAACACGAGAATGAACCTCATTGGCTCTTGCCGAAGCTCAAACGTGATGCGTAACACGAGAATGAACCTCATTGGCTCTTGCTAAAGCTCAAACGTGATGCGTAACACGAGAATGAACCTCATTGGCTCTTGCCGAAGCTCAAACGTGATGCGTAACACGAGAATGAACCTCATTGGCTCTTGCTGAAGCTCAAACGTGATGCGTAACATGAGAATAAACCTCATTGGCTCTTGCTAAAGCTCAAACGTGATGCGTAACACGAGAATGAACCTCATTGGCTCTTGCCGAAGCTCAAACGTGATGCGTAACACGAGGATGAACCTCATTGGCTCTTGCTGAAGCTCAAACGTGATGCGTAACACGAGAATGAACCTCATTGGCTCTTGCTGAAGCTCAAACGTGATGCGTAACACGAGGATGAACCTCATTGGCTCTTGCTGAAGCTCAAACGTGATGCGTAACACGAGAATGAACCTCATTGGCTCTTGCTGAAGCTCAAACGTGATGCGTAACACGAGGATGAACCTCATTGGCTCTTGCTAAAGCTCAAACGTGATGCGTAACACGAGAATGAACCTCATTGGCTCTTGCCGAAGCTCAAACGTGATGCGTAACACGAGGATGAACCTCATTGGCTCTTGCTGAAGCTCAAACGTGATGCGTAACACGAGAATGAACCTCATTGGCTCTTGCTAAAGCTCAAACGTGATGCGTAACACGAGGATGAACCTCATTGGCTCTTGCTGAAGCTCAAACGTGATGCGTAACATGAGAATGAACCTCATTGGCTCTTGCTAAAGCTCAAACGTGATGCGTAACATGAGAATGAACCTCATTGGCTCTTGCTGAAGCTCAAACGTGATGCGTAACATGAGAATGAACCTCATTGGCTCTTGCTGAAGCTCAAACGTGATGCGTAACATGAGAATGAACCTCATTGGCTCTTGCTGAAGCTCAAACGTGATGCGTAACATGAGAATGAACCTCATTGGCTCTTGCTGAAGCTCAAACGTGATGCGTAACATGAGAATGAACCTCATTGGCTCTTGCTGAAGCTCAAACGTGATGCGTAACACGAGAATGAACCTCATTGGCTCTTGCTAAAGCTCAAACGTGATGCGTAACACGAGAATGAACCTCATTGGCTCTTGCCGAAGCTCAAACGTGATGCGTAACACGAGAATGAACCTCATTGGCTCTTGCTGAAGCTCAAACGTGATGCGTAACATGAGAATAAACCTCATTGGCTCTTGCTAAAGCTCAAACGTGATGCGTAACACGAGAATGAACCTCATTGGCTCTTGCCGAAGCTCAAACGTGATGCGTAACACGAGGATGAACCTCATTGGCTCTTGCTGAAGCTCAAACGTGATGCGTAACACGAGAATGAACCTCATTGGCTCTTGCTGAAGCTCAAACGTGATGCGTAACACGAGAATGAACCTCATTGGCTCTTGCCGAAGCTCAAACGTGATGCGTAACACGAGAATGAACCTCATTGGCTCTTGCTGAAGCTCAAACGTGATGCGTAACACGAGAATGAACCTCATTGGCTCTTGCTGAAGCTCAAACGTGATGCGTAACACGAGAATGAACCTCATTGGCTCTTCAACACCAATAACAGACAGGTCTATACAATCAGAATGAATTCGAAAGTGAAGCCATGGGTTTTTGTAAGAAAAATACCAATATTTGTATAACTTTTTAATCTAAAACTAACTTCTGCCAGAAGACCGTACACATACTACGCAATCCGACTTGCGCCGCAAGAGTAAACCGTGACACATGTATGACGTAGGGTGTAGGAGTAACAAACTCTTCGTCGCCTCTCCTGGTTTAAACTAATAGAGCTGTGCAACAAACTGAAGCTTTTCTTTGTTTATATAGAAATCCTCTGACATTTCTCTTCAAAATTGCTAAATCGTGACTGGTGTTTCGTTTAGCTCTTTCCACTGGTCATTCCGCTGTGCGTCAGGTCAGGGGTCACACCGTAAATCCATGCGTACGGCCGTCTGGTGGAAGCTAGTGATTATAATTAATAAAGTTTTAAATATGGATATTTTCCGTACACAAACGCATGGCTGCACTTCAGAAGGCCTTTGGAGTAAAAGTGGAGCACTTTCATCATGGATAGATGCACTTTTTTGGCTTCAAATTCCCTTTCACTGCCATTATAAAGTTTGGAAGAGCCAGGACATTCATTAATATAACACTGTGTTCGTCTGAAAGAAGAAAGTCATATACACCTGATGGTTTGAGGGAGAGTAAATCATGGGCTAGTTTTCCTTTTTAGGTGAACTATCCCTTTAAAGACCTACATCACTCTCATGAAAATACCTGAGATAGCTTGATGAACACAGATATATTATCGCTATCATCATGTCTTCATGTTTCAAAACGTCTCTATTTGCATGTTATCCATTAAGGCATTTCCTGAAATGTTCAATACTTCTATGAATCTCACTTGTGGACTTTAAAAAGTATAATTAATGATAATTGTGAAATAATTCTAAAGTACTTTGTAATGTATAGTTACTTGAGTAGTTTTAGTATTTACTCTTACTTGAGTCATATTATTTTTCAGTACTTCTACTTGAACTTCTACTTAAATTATTACTTAAGTAGAGATACTTTTACTTACAGTAAGTCCAGTTTGTTGAACATGCTTGAGCTTCTGTTTGTCACTACTGATTTGATGAATGTTTATATATGAATAAAAGCCTAAATTGCATCTGTTCATAAAGCGATTGAGTCTCTTCAGAGTATTTGGATCAGTTCATATACATTAGTTTTTACGATTTCTTTGTAAACCTTTTAATGCGTCAAAGTGGTAGTTGCTTAACTAGTCAATGGAGGGGCGGAAATCTCAGATTTCATCAAAAAGATCTTTGATTTCCGGAGATGAACGAAAGTCTTGTGTGTTTAGAACGACATGAAGGTGTGGAACAACATTTCTGGGTGAACTGTCCCTTTAACATGTGAAGGAATCTTCAGACTGATCAAAATAACATTTCTCAGAGAGCATTCCAGAAGTTTTTTAAACCGATAACACGAGGAAATAAACAAATGCAGGATTAGAGTATAACAACAAATGCATCACGTTTTACAGACTAGTCGTGAAGGTGTGTGTTATTGAATTTCCTTGGTGTGTAACACAAGCCCTAGATACAGAATAAAAGGTTCGGCTGGTGAAATGTGAGTCCTGGCGCTTTCTCTTTCTCTCCGTCTACACACTGAGTTTATGCTTTAGCAATAAACAAGCCTCAGATGTAGTCCTTTATAAATGGAGTTTTTAGCATTGAACGGCATGTAGATTTCCGATAGTTCAGACAGTGGCTGAGCGACGCGTAAATACTGGATGAGCGTAAACAAGACATCAGCCTGATCCTTCAACCCGGTGAACCATTCTGAGGAGCACGGCTGTCGTCCCGCTGGAAACCCAGAGTAACGGGACACTGAAGCGCTGATGGCGGCGCACACTATTGAATTAAACAGAGCCGCTGGACTGGAGGTACGTCCACTAGCATTAGCACTAGCACTAGCGGTGTCTAAGCCATCTCAACCCTTTCATACACCGTATCTGTCACTCGGCTAATCGTCGGGTTAAGTGTGGTTGCAATGAGCGTGCACACCTGAGGAATAACACAAATACTCCTAATTAATACAAGGCAAAACACTCATCATGAGATTAAACCACATAAAACATTAACTACACGACAACACAGAACCAGGGGTGCGTTTCCCGTACAACTACAGTTCACTCCCAGATAGCAAACTGACATTGAATCAACGTAGAAATATGACATCGAAACAACGTTGATCTGACATTGGTTTGCTCATCGAATTAACATTGAACCAACGTCAGACGCGTCATTCTTTCAAAACTAACGGAAAATCAACTTGAAATCAACGCGTTGTTTCAATGTTATGAAAGCAAACCAATTTTCGATTTTCATTTAGCTTTGAAGAATGCCGCGTCTGACGTTGGTTCAACGTTAATTCGATGAGCAAAATCAACGTTGTTTCAATGTCATGAGAGACGTCGTTTCCACGTTGATTCAATGTCAGTTTGCTATCTGGGCTGTTTCCCTACCATAGTACGATGTATCGTCGGAAAAATCAACTAGCTAGTCGCGACTGTTTCCCGAAACCCACTGTCGCAAAGTATCGTTCAACCACGTTGGTTTCGCGCGTGGTGGAGTAAAAACTACTTTTAATGAAACTGTTTGAGATCCAATTAACGCTAGATTTGTTTTATATAAATTACAGATATGTCAACTGAGGACTATTTCTAATTGTTCTCAGTTGTTTTGCTTTATTACCAGGCTCGTTCTTACGTAGTAGAGCACGTTCGCACATGCGCACTATTCAAACGCGTTACTTCAAATCTTTTGACAAACCAAAGACGTAAATTACATTTGTGTGTATGCTGAATAAAAGGCACCGGTTGTACTGAATGTCAGCTTGCTTATTTTGCTCAGGATAAGGATTTATTACCTCCAAATGTCATGAAATATAGAAACGATGCTCCTAACCACAGGTCGAGAGCTGTCGTTCAAACCACACAACTTTGCGATGCTGTTTCCGAATGTTCGTTGGAACGATGGTTTCGGGAAACACCGATTCGTTGAACTATGCTGATAACGACGGAACTTGCGACCATAGTTTGCTAACGATGCTTTCGGGAAACGCACCCCTGAACTGAGGAAACTGAGCAGTGGTGATGAGATAAACTGAAACCGGTGCGGAATTCATTCGTAACTATGGAAACTAATAGGAAACAAAGACTGAATGGAATCTTCAAGAGTTCCGTGAAGCGCTTCATTTATAGAACCATCATGGGATCAGTTTACGGATATAGTTTTAATTTATTCAGTTTTGTTTTTAATTAAATTTAATGAGTTAAACTTCCCATAAACATAATTGAAGTAACCTGTTAAACATGAAAGTGTGCAATCATTGAAGACTTTTCTCCTTGAGATCTTCTATACAGAACCCTGTCGATCTGTGTTTAAGAGTGCAGAATTCACAGCTGACATTTGATGGTTTTTCGTTAATATTAATGTTTCTTCCAGATCAGTTATGTACACTATGTTTGAATGTTCTATCTTTTGTTGTTTGTTGCTAAATAAATGTACTGTTAATTTAGTGTTGTGTGTTTTGTTTGTGTGAATGACACTGCATCATCTTCTGCATAAATAATTACCGAACCAGTGTGTTGTGATTGGTCGGCTGGAGCAGTGTGTTGTGATTGGTCGAGCGCTTCGAGTCGAGTGTGTTTGGGAAATGTCCCGCCCCTTCCCATAAATGCCAGTTTAACACACTACTAACTAACCCCACCAGGCCCCGCCCCTTTATTCTGCATATTAATTATTTAAATGAGCAATATTGTGACTTGTTCATCCTCAGCAGGAACTCAAGATGGAATGGAGATGTTTCAGGAGTTCAGTGTGTGTGTGTGTGTGATTGAGTATGTGTGTGTGTGTGTGTGTGTTTAAGCAGTGTAACTAAAAGCTCTGTAGAGAATCAGTGTAATGTGATTTCCTCCGGTGGGTCGATCGGCCGCTGGACCGTAGCCATGAAGCATCGCCAGCGTCAGAGAGAGAGAGAGAGAGCGAAGTGCTAAAGAGAGAGAGTGTCTTGTCATCACGATTGCACAGCAACAGAGGAATACTGAGAGGAGGCATTAACACAGAGATCTATTTAAATCCTCTAAGCAGGCTCCTCCTCTTGTGGGCGGTGGCATGTTTCAAATTTAACTAATTTTACTGCACTATTTTATAATCTAATCTTGACAAACCGTATCGTTGGTATCGAAAGGTTCATATGTGTTTTGAGACATTAGTGTATTGAGAACACATCAATATTTGTGATATCAGCTTTAAAGTCGGCATGAAATCAAATTTGACAAATCTTCTTTTTATATGTAAAATTGTAGTGTTTATTATAAATGATTTATATGTGCACTTCATTATTTTTTTTAAATTCATGTCCACTTATAATCTTTAATCAAATACATTACTCTGCCCCCCCCCATCGAAACAGCCTCTCTTCTATTTCGGTCACGTGGAATGGCGAAAGGGTGTGGCCAGATCCAATGAGGGTGTGGCTATCGGTGCACAACGATCCAATCAATTCCCAAAGGATGAAATCAAGCCCTGCCCTACATTTTTTCTAATTTCAAAAACCGTTTCACGACAAGGAAAAAATGCCAACTTCAACTTCCGTTTCACGCCGACTTTAAATTTGGAACACAACTTGGTCAGACATATAGATTTGATTTCACACCAAGGAAGTATAATATTGTAAAATTCATGTTTTGTTTAAATAAAAAAAAAGGTTTGTGACCTGTACTCTGTTTTGGATGTTTGTTGTCTGTATTCCTCTAAACTAACTTTGTAAAGTGACCTTGAGCTTTAGAAAGACAGCATAAAATTATTATTATTTCACATGGAGATTGACTATTATTCATAAAATAATAGCATAAACATGATTCAGTATACACTCATATTCAGTTTTCTGTTATATTTTCTGCCCTGTTGTGATAAATAGTGATGCCTTTTCTCAGGAAAGTCGAGGCAAATAGAGAACAGAGAATAGGCTTTAGTGCAGCGGTGGAGTCTCAGTCACTCAGAGCAGAAGTGCAGAGTCAGCTCTCTCTCTCCCTCTTAATATCATTCTATGTGCAACTTTGACACCAGAAACTCTTCAGTCAGATGATGACGCTCAATAAAGTTCTAGATAAATCATGCATTCGTGCCAAGAAACCCATTCGATCAGTAAGAACAGTGTGTTCAGTAAGGGCTTTACATTTCATTAGAAAACAAGGTATTCTCTTGTGGCTTCCCACATGTGCACTGTTGAGGTCTGTTCTCGTCCGAAAATTTTTGCACATAAAAAATAAACATGACCTCACTTTTTGTCAATAACGTTTGCGAAACTTTCATTCATAAGCGATAGCGTTTGATTTTCTGCATTTTTCATATCTGCAGCAAGCATTTTGAGAAGTGTTTTGACAATTCAGAGCCACCAGACGACGAATACGAAAAAGCGCATAAAAAGATTTCTGAGAATTTTGCTTCATCCCAAAACTCAAATGACTGAAATCTTTTGAAATTGCTCACAAAAAAACGATGTATTCAGATTTGGCCGATTTCAAATCGCACAATTCCAGGTGTGAGTTTGAGATAAATGGAAATTTCAGACCTGTAAGTCTAGGCATCATAAAAGTTGACTTATTGTTCCTTTTCTCGAACTCTTGATGTGTTCAGACTCTACTACAACAGGTTTTCCTGCTTGAATGTTGATTATTCTCCATTGTTGCGGCTCCTCTTTTCCCAGTCTGTCAGTAACGCTCTGTTTACTTCCTGTCTCTATGAAGCCCCTCCTTCAGAAAAGCATACTGTGCTCTGATTGGTCGGCTGGAGCAGTGTGTTGTGATTTGTCGAGCTTCGAGTGTGTTAGGGAAATGTCCCGCCCCTTTCCATAACCGCCAGTTTAACTCACTTTAACTAACTCAACCAGGCCCCGCCCCTTTATTCTGCACATGAATTATGAGGAATATTGTGACATCACCCTTCGCTAGCATTAAAGGATTAGTTCACTTCAGAATTACAATCTCCCGATAGTTTACTCTCCTCCACGTCATCCAAGATGTTCATGTTTCTTTCTTCAGTGGAAAAGAAATGTGGTGAGTAAATTATCAGGAAATTTTAATTCTGAAGTGAACTACTCTTTTAAGGTGTACTGATAATTCTCTCTCCATCTTTCTCTCGCCAGGCTTCTCACAGTCTGGGTCAGTCGCCCGCCCCTCTAAACATGAACCATTATGCCAATAAGAAGAGTGCGGCGGAGAGCATGCTGGACGTGGCCCTGCTGATGGCCAACGCGTCGCAGCTGAAAGCCGTGCTGGAGCAGGGGCCCGAATACTCCCTGTACACGTCCCTCGTCACGCTCATCAGCCTGTCGCTCTGTCTGCAGGTGTTAGTGGGGATCTTGCTCATCTTCATAGGTGAATGAGAACACACACAGTTTTAGGGCACAACAGGGCTAAAGGCAATTCACATTTGATCTTATTGTCCTTTAAACCTCTAAATATCAACATAGCACTTTTCGGTCTTGTGGTGTGAAGCGTGGGATGCAGTGGTGTAAAGCGTGGGATGCAGTGGTGTAAAGCGTGGGATGCAGTGGTGTAAAGCGTGGGATGCAGTGGTGTAAAGCGTGGGATGCAGTGGTGTAAAGCGTGGGATGCAGTGGTGTATAGTGTGGGATGCAGTGGTGTAAAGCGTGGGATGCAGTGGTGTATAGTGTGGGATGCAGTGGTGTAAAGCGTGGGATGCAGTGGTGTAAAGCGTGGGGTGCAGTGGTGTATAGTGTGGGATGCAGTGGTGTGAAGCGTGGGATGCAGTGGTGTATAGTGTGGGATGCAGTGGTGTAAAGCGTGGGATGCAGTGGAGTAAAGCGTGGGATGCAGTGGTGTAAAGCGTGGGATGCAGTGGTGTAAAGCGTGGGATGCAGTGGTGTAAAGTGTGGGATGCAGTGGTGTAAAGTGTGGGATGCAGTGGTGTAAAGTGTGGGATGCAGTGGTGTAAAGCGTGGGATGCAGTGGTGTATAGCGTGGGATGCAGTGGTGTAAAGCGTGGGATGCAGTGGAGTAAAGCGTGGGATGCAGTGGTGTAAAGCGTGGGATGCAGTGGTGTATAGTGTGGGATGCAGTGGTGTAAAGTGTGGGATGCAGTGGTGTAAAGCGTGGGATGCAGTGGTGTATAGTGTGGGATGCAGTGGAGTAAAGCGTGGGATGCAGTGGTGTATAGTGTGGGATGCAGTGGTGTATAGTGTGGGATGCAGTGGAGTAAAGCGTGGGATGCAGTGGTGTATAGTGTGGGATGCAGTGGTGTATAGTGTGAGGTGCAGTGGAGTAAAGCGTGAGGTGCAGTGGAGTAAAGCGTGGGATGCAGTGGAGTAAAGCGTGGGATGCAGTGGAGTAAAGCGTGAGGTGCAGTGGAGTAAAGCGTGGGATGCAGTGGTGTATAGTGTGGGATGCAGTGGAGTAAAGCGTGGGATGCAGTGGTGTATAGTGTGGGATGCAGTGGAGTAAAGCGTGGGATGCAGTGGAGTAAAGCGTGGGATGCAGTGGTGTATAGTGTGGGATGCAGTGGTGTATAGTGTGGGATGCAGTGGTGTAAAGTGTGGGATGCAGTGGAGTAAAGCGTGGGATGCAGTGGAGTAAAGCGTGGGATGCAGTGGAGTAAAGCGTGGGGTGCAGTGGAGTAAAGCGTGAGGTGCAGTGGAGTAAAGCGTGGGATGCAGTGGAGTAAAGCGTGAGGTGCAGTGGAGTAAAGCGTGGGATGCAGTGGTACAAACAGTGAAACAAGTTGTAACATTTAAAAAAGTTAGAATGTCCAAAACGTTTCAGAAATGAAAAGTTCCATGTAAAATGTATCAATGTTTTTGTGCAAATATTTTGAGGACATTATTAAAGACCAGATAACATTGAACAAACGTTCTATTAAAGTTCCCCTGTAGTCAATAATTTCATCCCTTAAAACTCATCTTTGATCACCAAAATTACATATTTAAACGTTTTTAACTCAACACCCTTTCCTCATTTAGTACGCGCAGTTCTATGAATTTGCAAATGAGCCCCGCCTCCACTCACTCACTTCCACTGGTTGACGATCACACGTTGATCTGATTGGTTTAAAGGTCGTTTGTGATGTCAGAAACACCAGCGATTTCAAACCGTGTTTTTGAGACTGTCTTTGGTTCACTCCAGTTTTAAGGATAAAAAAACTGCCGACTTATGAATTTACACATGGTTTGTCTTAAAGCATATTAAAAACCCCACATAGACAAATAAAAACATTAAAAACATTAAAAGCAGGATTTTCACCACAGGGTTTGACGTTAAGAGAACCTACAGAGAACGTTCCCTGTCAGCTGAGGCGTTTTTACCTAATGACTAATACTGAAAAACATCCAGACAAGTTTAATCTTATATCCAACTAAGATGAGCACCATTTCAATCTCTGAACAAAGATTCCCACAAGAGGTTTCTTATGTGTTCGCATTTATGTTTAAACTGCAACGACTGAGAGCTGCTGAATAAATTTTTGGTCAACAAACGTTCACACTATTCTGAAGCTGAAAGCTCAGCTCTGCTTCAGGGACGCTCTGTGAAACTGAATTTGGGATTAAAGAGCAACACATGACAATAGCATCACAATACATTCTCCCCTGCTCTCTCTTTCTGTTTGACCTACATATCAGCAGATCCTTTCTGTCTCTGTCTTTCCCTTTCTGTGACCCTCCAGAGCTTCCATTCTGAACCCGCTGACCTCATGCGTCTCTGTCTCTCTCTCTCTGAATCAGTTGAGCATGATGTGAGCACCTTTTATTTAGCATTTGAACAGAAACAGTCTTTCCATCCCCCACACACACATTAACATTGAATTACATTATCAGAGAGCACTTTAATTTTGTCAGACCGCGACTAATCTGTGATAACCGATGTATCGTCAGAAACGACTTCAGGTCATTAATCACGAGCCTGGCCAACATGAAGCTCATCAGAGGAGTCATTTGGCAATGAATGCCATCTAGTGTGTAGAAAACAGCCTGCTCACACTGAACTATATGATATTTGATTTCTATTTGTAACAGTAGAAAACCTCTCAGGTTACTGTTGTACTGTTGCAAAGAGACGCTGTGGGAACTCTTCCCCTTCATATAAATCTTATAGGATAACGCCAGTGAATTAACTGGCCAATTGTCTTGAATATGCAAATCCTGACAAGCATTCGGGCAGTATAAAATGTAGAGGAGCAACAATGGCGTCACAATCTAAGACTGAATGCTTGCACAGCTGGTAGAGTGGCGAGCAAGGCGGCTTATGAAAAGTCTCGCTCCCGTCTCTCAGGGAAACAAGGTTAAAACAGTAACCAGACGTTCCCTTCCGAGTGCGGTCACTTCGACATTGCGTAGCCTAGCTACGCTGTGGGAACCTTGTTCAATCCCGCTGTGAGAAAGGTGAAGAAACAGGGTTATGTTTACACCAATAGAGAGCCTAAGTCCCGCCCCTCCGCTTCCGGCTCATGGGACCTTATTTCGTAAAAAATATGAATGGTAGTCAATGGCGAGAGACAACTTATCTTTTTATTCCGTCTGAACTGTGCCCTCAATTACACATATGATGTTTGTCCATTTAAAAGATAATTCTGAAAGTCAAAAACGTCGCAGTTTGTCATACAACAGAAGAGTAACATTTAGTTTTATGTGAAAATCGCTCTGTGAACTACATCTCCCGGGAAACGAAACAACGAGTGAGATCCGCTGCTCGTGTGTGTGCAGTCTGGTACAAAACACTCGTAACGTTATGATTATAACGTAAGACTGTAGAAACAATGACAGACATTAGCCTCAGTAAAGTTAGCTTCATTCATTGAGAGAAAATGTGCGCCTTTGGGATTTGTAGTCTTTGTAATTACGTATTTTCACAGTCTTATACCTCAACGGTTTTACATCAAACTGCGACTTTCTTTACTTTAAAATGTATCTTTTAAATTGACAAACATCATATGTGTAATTCAGGGCACAATTCAAACCAGATCAAAATATTTGTTGTCTCTCGTCATTGACTATTATTCAATATTTTTCCGAAATAAAGTCCCATGGTGGTCGACCGGAAGGGGAGGGGCTTAGGCTCTCTATTGAAGAGTAGAAGAACATACAGCTCAACCAATGCGACACCGCTAGGAGTGGTCACAGCTGATAGGTGGAGCTAAGCCAATGAGATGCCAGCTCAGGGATTACCAAAATTTGCATTTCAGATTTGAATGTGAGCGGGCTACACTGAATACAGGACAGACACAACAACAGTGAGCACATATAAGTATGCACATAGGCATGCACAGCACCTTTTTCTGGTTTTGTGATCGTATAACACTTATATCATCCTTCTTAATATATAACTATCTCGTTTCAGAAAATAACATAAAACCATGAATTACATACATTATAAAACACAGTTTATCAAAATAATTCCCAACAACACAGAAAATACAACTTTATGAACAGTAAAATGACAAAACACTATCAAATAAAGCATTTACCTGCACACAGAGCATTAAGAGAGAGAAAATGGCGAATCGTCAGGTTCACAGCTCCACCTATCCACGATATATTCACCTCGTTAGAAAGCACAAATCGCAGACATAAAACAATCAAAATACTCATAAATACAGACGGAAAACGCTCTTACAAGCCAATCTGTGTCTCTTATGAACAATCCATCAAATAATCATAAATCATTTAAGATGAAATTATACATTTTTCCATTTTTAGTACGGGAAACCGTCTCACCCACAGCAGTTCTCTCTTACTCTGCTGCAGATCGTCCGTGCGCACGGTAGCCTATAGCGCCACCCGCGTACCCCATAGGAAGTGCAATCCCATTGCTGCAGGATTTATTTAAAGAAATCAAAACTATATTATTTATCCCGTCACACTAACATGTTAAATAATGTTACCAACATGATCATTCATGTTAGCTATGTGTTAAAACCGGCTAATTCCAGCTAGTAAAATGCTAATTCATGCTATAAATGTGTTAAATTATGCTAACAATGTGGCGGAACATGCTAGCAACATGATGCTAATGGCAGATAGGAACGTGTTAAATCATGTAAATTCATGCTAGCAAAATGTTAATTCATGCTAGTAACATGCCTATGTTTCAAGAACAAATGCTCCATGAACAATAAACGATGTACTAATGTTTTTAGAGACCACATCACTCTCAATAAACTTGTATTAACGTTACTGTACGAACGTTGGCAGTCTGAGATACTGGATCATTGCTCATCTGAAGTGTGACAGACTGTGTTTATGTCTGATGATGGTTGTAGTGAAGTGGAACCTGAACGATGAGCAGAAACATCTCCGGCTGAACGTCTTCGAGAACATCACCACCAGCTGCGTCTTCATCATCGTCGTCATCAACGTCTTCATCACTGCGTTCGGAGTTCAGCGGCCCAATCCAGGCCTGCGACAGTAGCTCAAACACGGGTACTGTATATTACACACACTGGAGAAACACACTCTTTACATTTGAATCACATGTATGCAGCACTGTGCAGCATGGCATTATGGGTAAGTTCTGAGTGATCACAAGTGTTCAGAAAGAAACGGATCGGATTTGCCTTTGTTGTAACTCTTATGTTTCATGCATTATAAAAGTATTTTATTGGATCAATGAAGCACCTTATAATGATCTCATGAACTGTAACCACATTATAATATTTCTCTATTCATTGAACAACACTAGATAATAAAATACATTTAAAAACTGTTTCAGATCTGCAAATATTATAATGCATTTTAACTTTATTTACAACCAATTGTTATATTTCATGATGCTGCATTCAACAGCCAAGTAGATTTCATTTTGAAAAACACTGAGCGTGAAGAAAACACTCCAGACAACTTTTTAAAGTTAAAAATGATTATACATCAAAACGAATCATAGCGCAGAACACAGTTATGATATCTTGTGCTATATTCACCAGCTTTTGTGTTCAGATTTTACTAGCAACAGACATGATTATTCAGCTTGACAATAATTAAATGAACTGGAATGCAATTTAAGTATTTGACACATCATTGACACACTCTGTGTTTTCATATGGAATAATATGCTGTCCATAATGCCCACTCTCTATCTCTATCTCTCTCTTTCTCTCTCTCTCTCCCTCTCTCTCCCTCTCTCTCTCAGCTGTAGACTGTGGATGGAGAGGGAGTGTTTCACACAGCAGACTCTGATCCTGCAGCAGGATCTCAATAATTCATCAGTGCGACGCCACTCTCAGTTCTTCTGTTCATCACACACTCACATCTCGCCAGGGCTTTTGTGTTCTTTACAGGTTTTACTTCTTTTAACACACTCACACAGAGAGACACACACACACACACACTCTCTCTCTGTCTCTCACACACACACACACACACACACACACACACACACACACACACACACACACACACACACGCATGCTGACCTCTGGTGGTACATTAGTGTATTCGCATGGTCAGCTGTTCATGCTGTGGGAATCTATTGAATAAAAGCTAAACTTTCATACATGGATCTTTTACAGCAGCAAGAAAAAAATGTATTTTATTATTAATGTTATTTTAATATTATTGTTTATAAACTATAAATGTGTGCTTCATTTGAGCTGCTCTAAACACTATAGATGAATGTATAAGTGTACAGGTCTCTGATCAACATATTTCTACATAAACAGTGCTATATGTGCTGTCAAATTAAACATCAGGCACATCAAACATGACCGATTAAAGATGTATGAACAACACACTTCATTGGGCTTTATCTTTTTAATAAATACTAAAAACGCAATTTTCATTTTAATAACATTTTCTAGATGCATATTAAATCTAACATCTGAGGGAGAAAACATAATGATAGACTTTCATCTTCATATGAGGTTAGAGTTAAACTTAATTATACAATTCTAAATGATATATGATCGAAATTAAAAATTAATAGGCCTAATAATGAGATTTTTTTTTTTACAATTATGACATAGCTTAATTTCACAGTCTTATCTCATTTCAAATGTATCTTCTTATAATTAGTTATAATTTCAACTTTTTGTGCCATTGTAATGACTTTTTATGTCATAATTAAGATTTACCAGCATTTTTTTTTACATGGCGGAAATCGGCTTCCATAAAAGCGATACATTCAAAAACACTGTTTTTATTATTTAACATATGCCGTATCATATTTTAAAAACAATATCGAATATGTTTCAAGTTCTGCGAAGTGCTACGAGAGAAAGACAACAAATATTTGCACAGACATGGGGATGTAGTCGAAGGAAATGATATTGATAATGTGTTGGCCGCCAACAGGTGGCGCTGTTGATGAGGGAGCTGTAGAAGAACAAGCGCCATTTACTGTAATACGAATGGTAAAAAAACCACACAGTATTATAATTAATAACTGCTCTATATTTGAAAGGAATGTAAGCGCAACGTTTGCATCGCATCCAGGTTTATTATTGGCTCATTATATACAGAGACAACAACACTGGCATAACAGTGAATAATGAACTGTTATATGAAGAGCTCCTTTTAGGCCAAAACACTCTTTCAACAACTCATGGGATCATTTGAAATTTCCACGTTTTGAAACTTATAGCTTTTTTTTTTTTTTTAGTTTTTGGGTACAACAGAATTGTTTTTACACACACTTTTTCACTGAAATTTATTTTAAAAATGTATTTCCATTTGGATGATTTCAAGTGTGCATCCAAAAAACCCTTCAGATTGTTATAAATAAATCCTTATACTGAGTAAATTGAGAATTGTGTTGTTTTGATATTTTTAATATTTTATATAAACTGTTTTTGTAGTAAAACACAAACAAAATTATTAAAAAACGTAATTTCAAAACAAAACATGACAGGTGTCAAAACAGTAGTGAGCACTAAGCCTATGACCTTCACGGCCGTGTTGAACATCGCCTGTGTTTTATTCTCACACCAGCCCTGCAAAGTCTACATTCTTGACGTTAAAGAGTCTATAAAGAGTTTTTAGTGCCACTGTCTGAACGGCTCGTAACGAAACTTAAAAAACGAGATCTTCCTTGACGTCCAATTTTGTCAATGACAGCCTGATTGATTTTTAAGTGACGGACTTTTTGCCGGGAAAATCAAAAGAATATTCGCGCGCGACCGCGAGATCCTCTCTTCCGTTCAGTGACACATGAAACAAAGTTTTATTTTTTCATGATAATGCCATTCTGTACTGTAATGTATGTCATAATCAAACTATCATGTGTAATTTGAATTACCTCATCATCAGTCGAAACGACACTTCCTGCAAACACATCCACCTTCTGTCACAATGTGGGAAATAACCCACAAATATATATATATATATATATATATATATATATATATATATATATATATATATATATATATAATGGGTAAGTAAAGTCAATAAATTTAAATTTTCGTCAGTGCTGCAGTTCCCCTGACGGCCACAGGTGTCGCTAATAACTCACTTTCTCAATTCTACATTCTTAAGGACAGTAATGCGGTGTTATGCTACAAATAATCATTTAGTATACAGCTAATTAAAACATTTATTGTTGCCCATTGTACTGCATACTTTAACTAAATACCTTTGAGGCCAGAGTCACATGTTTAGGCTACAGAGTGAACTTTAAAACACAATTATTTAAAAAAAACAAAAAAACCCAACATACAAAACATGAGGAAAAAGTTCCAGTTCTCAGTTTCAGACGTCAGACTCAGTTTGCATCATTATTACACCAAGTCCTCATCAGTCCACATATGATGGGCAGGTGTGTGTGGTCTGGTCCAGACGGGCTCTTGCAGGAGCGGCTGGCAGAAGTGTGTGTGTCCCGCACCGGTGTGTGTGTTCAGCAGGCGGTCAGCGGGAGGACTGAGGATCACTGAGATCTGACACATCTTGAGATGGATGATCTGAGGATAGGGCTTCCCTTCATCAACACACCTGTCAACAATACTACACATATTCATAAGTGTGTAACTGTAATGTGTATAAAGGAGACGTACGCCTATTAATGATGTTTCTCCTGAATACACTACCAGTCAAAAGTGTTGGATCGGTATGATTTTTAATGTTTTCAAAATAAGGCAGCAACAAAAAAACAGTAATATTGTGAAATATTATTATAAAATAAATCATCAGTTTTCTTTGTGAATATGCAGTAAAGTGTAATTTATTTCTGTGATAAAGCTGAATTTATCATCATTACTCCGGTCTTCAGTGTCACATGACCCTTCAGAAATCACTCTAATATGAGGATCTGATGATCAACACACATTTATGAATGTTATCAGTGTTGAACACAGGTATGGACACTTTTATTTCAGGATTCTGTGATGAATAGAAAGTTCATAAGAACAACATTTATCTGAAATAAAAAACAGTTTGGTCCCAGTAAAAATTGTATTTAATTTTTGGGAGAAATAAATAAAAGAAATCAATACTTTTATTAATCAAGGATGAGTTAAATGTATCCAAAAGTGAGAGTAAAGACATTTATAATGTAACAAAAGATTCTATTTCAAATCAATGATTTAAAACTTTCTATTCATCGCAGAATCCTGAAGAAAAACACTGTTTTCAACACCGATAATAATCAGAAGTGTTTCTTGATCATCAGATCTTCATATTAGAGTGATTTCTGGAGGATCATGGAAACGGCTGATTTAAATTGTCATAATATTGAACAATATTACTGTTTTTTTGTTTGTTTGTTTTTTCAAATAAATGCAGCGTTGGTGAGCAGGTGGATCCAAAACGTTTGACTGGTAGAGAGAGTGTGTGTGTGTGTGTGTGTGTACCTGCAGGGAGTGTAGATCTGCTTGTCTGTGGTTGTGTCTGTTGTGGTGAGCTGTGTGTAGTTGTTGTTGTTGTTGTTGTTGTTTGTGTTTTTCTGGTTGTGTATCGGCTCTCTCTGCAGATCCACCTCTGATGCCCCGTTTTTTCTCGCCCTGCACATTCACACAAGACACACACATTAGCCCTCATCAGCGTCACACACTTCCTCCCTCTCCTCGTCAGCAGTTTCTGAAAGTGTGTGAAGACGGTTCACTTCGTGTATACAGACAGGAGCCATCTTTGGAAATAGTCTCGATAAGTCAAACCACGAACGTCGTGCTGAGTGAGCTGAACTGTATGAAGTTCAACAAACTTCTGAACTGTATGAACGGCGTTCGGGGATCGACTTATCAAGACTATTTCCTAAGATCTTTATAAAGTCTTCATAAAGTTTCTTCTTATTGTGTATGTATGGAGCCTCATTATGTTAGTGTGTTAGTGTGGGGCTATTTTGAGCCTTGTTAGTGGTATAAACTAGCGATTTCTTTTTACTTACTCAATGCCCCCATTACTAGCATTATACGCTAAACAGTTTTTAGAGATAAAACTCTTTACATTCGATTATCATGAAAACAAATCTCAGAGAACGGTTGACTGTGTACCGATGTTTTATTAGACCAAAGGTTCATTGTTCGCCGGAGTTCTCCTTTAAGGTTAACATATTCATATAAAAACTAAAAAAACGTACATTTTGATTTCAGGGGACCTTTAATATTATATTATCTGCAAATGCTTTTTTAAACATTCAGTACAGTTGAGCACACTTCTTTTCCACGAGGGAATAAAGACGTGATGGTTTATATCATGTTCTCTCACCTCTCCATCTTTCTTCTCTCCTCTCGTCTCACATGTTTCACCAGACAGGAGGTGATGAAGATGATGCTCATCAGGAGGATGATGGTGGCGCTGATGAAGGACACGAGGACCGCTAGACGAAAGCTGTCGTCCTCCAGCCGAGACAGAGCTGGACAAACACACAGCACAACTTTCATTAGGATCGAAAACATGTGCAGATCCCACACAGCCTAAGCGGACTCAGGTGCAGGACAATAGAAATAACAACACTGGGGTAGATAAGCGAGACATCTACACACTGAATTCACCGCTCAAACACAACTGGTTCAACACTCCTGTGGGAAAACACAACTCTATATAGAGTTATAAGAGTTAAATGAAGTCCTATAAGAGTTAAATGAAGTCTTAAATGAGTTAAATGAAGTCTTATAAGAGTTAAATGAAGTCTTATAAGAGTTAAATGAAATCTTAAATAAGTTAAATGAAGTCTTAAATGAGTTAAATGAAGTCTTATAAGAGTTGAATGAAATCTTAAATAAGTTAAATGAAGTCTTAAATGAGTTAAATGAAGTCTTATAAGAGTTAAATGAAGTCTTATAAGAGTTAAATGAAGTCTAATAAGAGTTAAATTAAGTCTTAAAAGAGTTAAATGAAGTCTTAAATGAGTTAAATGAAGTCTTATAAGAGTTGAATGAAGTCTTAAATAAGTTAAATGAAGTCTTAAATGAGTTAAATGAAGTTTTATAAGAGTTACATGAAGTCTTATAAGAGTTAAATGAAGTCTTATAAGAGTTAAATGAAGTCTTAAAAGAGTTAAATTAAGTCTTATAAGAGTTAAATGAAGTCTTAAAAGAGTTAAATTAAGTCTTATAAGAGTTAAATGAAGTCTTATAAGAGTTAAATGAAGTCTTATAAGAGTTAAATGAAGTCTTAAATGAGTTAAATTAAGTCTTATAAGAGTTAAATGAAGTCTTATAAGAGTTAAATGAAGTCTTAAAAGAGTTAAATGAAGTCTTATAAGAGTTAAATGAAGTCTTATTTTTATGCTTTAGTTCAGTCAGACACTGTCATCCAGCACCTTTAATGTGATTAAAGTCAGAATCCTGATAGATTAGTGAGATTAGTGAAAGTGATTGACAGCTCTGGCTCTTACGTTTGCACTGAGGTGTCTCGCCGCTCCAGTGTGTGTCGTTCCTGCTCCACACACACGACACCTGAGCGCCGCTGCCCGCGTGGTGTGTGTTGGGGCACTGCAGACTCATCACACTGCCCACGCTGGTGCCGTCGCCCGAGACCAGCTTCAGCGTCCCGATGAGCGGAGCCGGCAGCGGAGAGCACTGACCTGCGATCAGTCACAGAGATTACAGCAGACACACGTCATCTCGTTAGTACAGAACTGCGCTAATTAACCGATCCAGACGACTGGAACAAAACGCTTTCTGAACCGGGACACATAAGTATTGAGTATGAATTGTACTTTTGTGCAGATATAATTTTTGTTTTACTTTTTAAAGTACTGCATTATTAATGGTAAATTGAAATTGTAGCTGTGCATATTTCAGTACATTTCATTGGAACTAATGTATGTTTTTGCAGATTTTATGAAATTATTGTAAAAAAAAAAAAAAAAAAAAAAAAAAAAAAAAACCTTAACAGGGTGGACAAAACAATAATCAAATCTGGCTGCCTGATTCATAATCATGGGTTTATTTATGGCCTGGTATTCACTGCTTTTGGGCCATCATGAAATGTAGAAAATCAAACTCATTCTTTGTGTGGTCATGATAGGGTTGATGATGTAAGCCATTTGAAAAATGATTTTGGTCAAGCTCTCACCATTTATTAAACAAAATATATAAAAATGCAAGATCCAAAATGTCCACCCTGCTACGGACAAATGAACGACACTTTCAAATACGTATTATATAAATGAATGAACGCTGTGTATCAGTTAATAAAAGATCAGAATATATCAATATTTGACTTTCTCACAAACGCATCAGATGGACTAATAATAACAGGGTGGACAAGTGGTGTAAAGAATCGCTCACACACACAACCAGATTACTCTAGTATAACTGGATTTAAATGAAGTTTAAATGCAATTCTTCTCCAACTTTAACCGTGATCACTTTCACAGCTCTTCTGATCTGAGGTCAGCCACTGCAAGCTAAAAACATAGATTATAATTGCAAAAAAATAATAATATTGAAAAGAATATATACATTAAAAAGAATTTTTACTGATATACCCAACAATAAAAAGCTTTTTAAAAAATGTTTTACGAAATCACATATAGTAGGCCTAAGTGTTGCATTTATGAAAATTGAAATATGATATTTAGGGAATATGCTGATTTATGGTACTTCAAAATACTGTTAAATTATTATAAATAATTGAAATAATTGAATTATTAAAAAATTTTAATAATTGAATTAAAACTTCAATATGCTTAGAATACAAATGTATGACTATAAGACGCAGGTTTAAACTGGATATTGTTCATCATTTGGAGAATGTTTCACTCTCTCATGTTTCTCTGTAGTGTTTCCTAGCAGACAGGATTCATCTCTCCGGATGTTGTGTTGTACACCACTAGTGTTTTTGCTCTAGTGAGAAGTGAAAGTGTGATGAGGGTGTGTGTGTCTGTTACATCACAAACAATCAAACTGTACTTTGGTGTAAATCGAATAACATGAACTGTATGAACTGTATGCTATCGGGGATACCTTAGATTTCACTCCCGTCAATATTTCTCAGGATATGGTTATTAAATAATCAATATTCGGCCTATAGAGAGCTGATCTGGGGTTTGACAGGGTGAAAACGGGACAGAAGTACATGTTCAATAGGCCTACTGTAGTTTAACAGATGAAAATGAAAATTACACACGGTAACTATCAGTGTTGTAGTACTCGAGACTCGGACTTGTCTCGGACTCGAGACCATATTTTAATGGTCTTGGTCTTGTCATGGACTCGTGTGCATTTGGACTCGGAATTGACTCGTACTCGAACATTTTTTTTAGGACTCGGAATTATTCCCGAGTCCACTCGAGTTCAAATAAAAATATTTTTCATGATTATTAATGTATGTTAATAAAATATTTCTTTAAATTGATTGACACGCCCAGTGATTGGTGATTTTCTAGTGCACAACTGCGCATGACAAATTGTAATAAAATTAGCCTACTTTTAACACCACCTACTATGTGGCCTTTTTACCCTAAACTGATCATATTTTTTAAACTCTAAGTAAATTCAGTAAAAAAAAAAAAAAAAAAAAAAAAAAAAGGGTTTCTCTAAGTAAATAAAAGTAAATTATAGGTAATCAACCCTCACTGGTCTCGGTCTCGACTCGGACTCGAGTGAGGTGGTCTGGTAACTATATACCTCACAGATTTTAATTTTGTTTTTAATCAAATTTGCATTTTAGTTCGCACAAAATTCAATATGGCATCTGCTCTGACTATTAATAGGCTACGGTCTATTATTGTCTTTTGGGCGAAACATAACGAGGAAATTAAATAAAACAAAAACTTCCACTTTCTCAAGCATGACGGACAACAGTTTTAAATAACCAAATTAAAATGTTAGTTCGGTTGTGCGGCCTAACAAATGCAACTTTTTGACGACTGGAAATGTAAAGTATAATAATAATAATATATATATTCTGGTGTTGTTTCAGTGGAATATTCTTGCAACTTTTTCAATATAAAAACAATTCAGTAAAAAAAAAAAACATATAGGGCTATTTCCATGAATTGTTTTTATACAGGAAAAGTTGCAAAATGTTCCACTAAAAGAACACCAGAATGCAGGTTCAGCATTGGATGAGTAAACCCAGAGACTATTTGGTAAACCTCATCTCGAAATAACAGAACACAAGATGAAGAAAGAAACGCGTTTCCGATCAGAGAACCGCTGTCATTTACAGAAGACGCGTTTCCTGCTTACACACACACACACACACACACACACACACACACACACACACACACACACACACACACACACACACACACACACACACACACACACACACACACATCTGCTGCTCATCCTGTCTACTTTTAACACGCATGAAAAACTCACTCACATAGGCCTACTCTCTCTCTCTCCCTCTCTCTCTCTCTCTCTCACACACACACACACCGCGTCTGAAAGCTCACTTGATCTACACTTTATTTTAAGGCGCCACTGTAGCACAAATAAGTTACTGACTAACAATATACACTCACCGTATTGCTGATATATTATATTAAAATATTAAACGGACGGATAAAACTCTGTAGGCTACATTACTGACGAGAGCAGATTATAAAAAGCACATGCATCATATCAACAATGAAGTATATTTAAGAATAACAACAGTTCACTAACCAACGAACACTGTAAAATAAAGTCAGTGAGCAATCTTTGCCATCAAGCACCTCAAATCTCGAGCCAAATCACAGATTTGAAGAGCTAAAGTGTGTAGGAAGATGTGCGTGGATGAATGAAGAGCTGAAGTGTGTATTTGAAGGTGTGTGTGGATGAATGAAGAGCTGAAGTGTGTGTTTGAAGACGTGTGTGTGTGTGTGTGTGTGAATGTACCTGTTCGGTCTCCCATTCCTGATTCAGACGCACTGATGATGAATGCCATTCAAACTGTTGCTCGACTCGAGCGCTTCACTTCACTCCACAGCCCGAGGAGCGGCGCATGCGCAGAGGAGACACACGCACACACAGAGAGAGAGAGAGAGAGAGAGACAGACAGCACTCTCAGTCTGGAGCGAGTATTTAGGATTTGTGTTGAGGACACACTGTCTCTCTCAGCTTAAACTCCAAGACCGATGACAGCAAAATGCTAACGCTAACAGCACAAGGATTCACCATAGCCTAGTTCATTTCTCTCATTAAGAGAATTATATATTAGGTCTATCAAAGGTCTTCGATTCATTTCTATTTAGTTAAAAAAATATCTTTACTCACTATACTGTTAAAATTATTTATTTGTTTGTTTATTTCTAATATAGGCTAATTGATATTTATACAGATGCTTTTTTTGTTTACAGTCTCTTTTTTTTTATTCAACAATTGCACTGTTTACAAGAACATTCCTCTCCATTATAAAAGAAAATACATTCCAATATCCAATATTGCAGGTATAACATAAAACATAAGGAGCATAACAAAAAACATAACAGATTTACATCACATTTTGCCAGGGGTAGTACAGATTTACAAAAAAAAAAAAATCAAATTGTTTACACACATTCATAGTTTTTATTGCCTTTTGATTAAGAGAAAGCTTAATAGTGTTGACATATTGCTTGACCTCATTATTAAAAGCAATAAAAGATAGTGTGGAATGTGTAAACTAAACTTACATTTATGAATAGAATTTTGCTAAGAGAATAATCAGATTAATAATAAAAGTTTCATTAGGATTAGACTTAGTTCTGTCGAGGTCATAAATTCCAAAAAGGACATCCTTCCAAAATAATTTGAAATTTCTCTCAATTTTTTCTGCAATAAAATTACAAATTTCAGACCAGAGATTTCGGACAAAAGGGCATTGCCAAAACAAATGAGTTACTGTTTCAACACTTTTAGAACAGAAAGTGCACATTACATCAATGTCTTTTTTAAATTTTTTGTTTACAGTCTTTTTCAGATAATTGATTTCACTGGCGGCCATCTTTGAAACGTCTCGGTCTCCGGCAGGTTCAGTCATAGACAGTAAAAGTAGCGTCTAGTAGCTGTGCCAAGACAAAACGTTGTTGTATATTTTGTCCCGTTGCTTTTATGGACTCGCTATGGGCTTCTCCCACTACTTTCTGCCTTCATGTCCCCCTGATTGCCTCGTAGACAGTGAAAGATTGGCTTGAGCTTCTCCTCCTGTCTATACGGTAACGTCTCTATTGTGCGACAAAAAGTTGCGTAGTGATGACGCAATCGTTAGCGTATTTTTCACAAAAATGGCATCTACTGGGCCATAACGTAACATACAAAGTAATGGAGCATTTGTGTTTCTTTAGAAATAAATTATGGACAAATGGAGTCTTTGGACACCTCAGATGTATTCGCTGTCAAAGTGACGCTAAAATGAATGGGAGTCAATGGGATGCTAACAGCAGGTGAAGTTCTGCTACAATGGCGGCTCCCGCGAGGCTTCAACTTCCGGCTGATGGATTACCCACTTGGTTTCAGTCCAGTGCAGCTCCTATCTCTTTAAATGGGTAAATACGTGAAATGTGAATTTTTCCAAGCTGTTACACACTTCCTATTTGGAATTATCGCAACGGAAATCTGACAATAGTCTCACAAATTTTGTTTCTAAATGCTCAGATCGTGACAAAAACTGAATATGAAGAGTTCAGATGCAAAAGCCTCTAAATGCCATTTGAAATGTTCTTCTGTAATGATGATTTTTATCAAGCTTGTATATTTAAGTTCAGTGATTTCACTTAAATGGCAATGATAATTACCTATTATTTGTTATTTAAGTGAAATTACTGAACTTAAATATACAAGTTTGATAAAAAATCATCATTAAAGAAGAAAATTTCAAATGGCATTTAGAGGCTTTTGCATCTGAACTCTTCATATTTGAATGGCTAGACCAGCCAATGCGCATGCGCAATCCTAATATTGTGTCATAATAATCATGACTGTTTCTAACCAGAGCTCCTAGGGCAGCTGCAGTGGCAATGTCTTTACTGGCCAGCCATTGGCTCTTTTATTTAGAAGGCGGGACTTATTCCGCCATGTTGATTTTGCAAGATTTTTATTGAACAATAAGAACAAAACAAAAATACAATATACATCTACAGTGGCATTGACAAATACAGGTAAATGAGTATTAAGCAAGGCACATATCACTTAAGGTAAAAATAAATAAATAAAAATAATTACAATGAAGAAAAAAAATAATAATAATAATATTGATTTTGCAAGATGTAAACAAAACTGGTCCAGAAGCACTTCTTGTTTCAGTTTTTTAACACTACATAAAAGCTGGGATAAAATACAACCAACAGAACATTTAAAACTCAATCAAAAAGTTAAACAAACATCTTAAGAATTTTTCTTTACATGTGAAATAAAGAAAACAGTTACAAACTGAAACAGGAAGTGTTTCTGGACCAGTGTTGTTTACATCTTGCAAAATGGTCTGTCTTTCTGTATAAAGTCTTTCACTTCAAAGGTTGGAGCACTTGAATGAGCAAGTTATGTTTAAACTGGCCTAATGTAACGGGACATTCAGTTATCAGACTGTGTTAAAATACAGATATGCATATTAAATTGAATGTGGACTAGTGTTTTCTTGTGCATTCTGCTCTTTTGAAACTGCTATTGAGTTAACACTGTACAGAGGCCTTGAGACGAGGAAGGAGTTGGGTGTTGTCTTTAACAAAGATTTTCAAGAATTAGAAAAATGAAGTGAAAGTCATGCAAAGTCTTCGAGTAAATGATTTTAGATCTAAGAGCATTCTGAGGCCAGATGTAGAAACTCAGAAACAAGAAAGAGGAAGTACTGAAGGTCAGGTGACACGCTCAACAGGAAGACCGACGAGGTGTGACGATACCTCAACCAAAGCCACTAGAAAGCAAGCCGTCAGGTAGCACAAACAAGCGCAATCCGTGCTAACACTGCGGTGCGCGGAGGAGACCACAGGCTGACTGTTTTTGACAGCCTCTCTGCTATGCTAACGTGTTTGCTCTTAAAGCCCCCTTTAGTCAGTCATTTTTTTCCTTAAACTCATCTTTGATAAACAAAATCAAAGTTTTCAACATTTTAAATATCTTGAATGTAACTCGACACCCTAGTATGCGTGTTTTTATGAATATGCAAATGAGCCCCACCTCCACTCACCCACTCACTCAGAGATGACGATCACACGTTGATCTGATTGGTTACCATAGACATACACTAGACCTCACCTTGGCTACGGCAGTTCATTGGAACGAATGCGTCAATAGAGCCGCCATCTTGAAACAGGGGAGCCCCTCCACTTTAATGCATCAGCGTTAATGTAGTAGACACAGGTCTAACGCAAATAAAATCACCATAAATCATCATGAATGCGATTTTTCTTGTTTTTTGGTTTGTTCCAACGGTCAGACATGTATTTATCATTGATTCCAGAAAGAATTTTTTTTTTTTAAACATTCTTTCTAGTTCAGATTTCATCCGTGAACTTCATACGCTGCACAAAAGTCCGCCACCATCAATGAATTCGAAGTAAAGGCAGAGATAGCAGCGTTACCTAGCTACTTCCTATGACAAGACCCCTGTTCCAAGATGGCGGCGGTTTTGACGCATGCTTAGAACCCCCAGGTGAGGTCTAGTGTATATGTCTTACAAGGTCGTTTGTGACGTCAGAAACACCAGCGATTTCAAACCGTATTTTTGAGACTGTTAACGTATCGGATCCGTGTGAATTCTGCACAGAATGATATTTTAAAGCGATGTGGAGATTAGGAGGAAACTATAGCTTTATCGAGTTCAACGGCTCTGAGCTGTGATATAAACTAAACGCTATTGTACGGTGGCCGAGAGAGCTCACCGCGCTGCAACCTGATGAAGACGAATGCAAATTCAAAAAAACGTGTGCAACTATAAAAACGCATTCAAATACAAAAATACATCCGCAAATTAAGAAAAACATCTTCATCAGTTCCACAACACACCTGTGCTCCAAGTACTCATAACACCACCAAATACAGAAACGCGCAGCAAACGTTCACAACACCACCAAATACAGAAACGCGCTGCAAATAACACGGTCCACAACGGAAATGTTTCCGGGGAACCAAATAAGTGACGGACCCGACTAGAACCACAGGACGTGCTTAGAGCAAAAAAACCTTTATTGACAAGAAGTCAAAGCATATATATATATTTTTATAAATAAACTATACAAATAAACTATACTATTAAAGTAATATTGTATATCATCGTCTGTGTAAACTAAAAAACAGTCAGTGACATCTTGTGTTCAGTCTAGGAGCGTAGTGTTTCCTCACAGTGACATCGCCACCTAATGGCCTGGCAGCAGAACGCAGCGTGCAGACAGGATAATTTTGACAACGTCGTTGTCTGTATGTGAAAAAATAAAACGCAAAGGAAAAACTTTCCCATCATTATGTAACCCTGAACCCCTGTTATTAAACTCTCCCGAAAGTGATGAAATAGAGTTAACACATCACAGCACACACTTTCACAATGACTGAATAATACTCTGCGAACAGGAAGTCAGATCCACCCTATGCCGAAACAACCTCCATCTCAAGTGCATTTAGTGTCTGGTGGAGAAGAACTATATGAAACTGTTATTTATATAAATATATACACATGATATAACTATGGAATTCTTTACCAGTCGATATAAGGCAAGCAACATCTCTTTTGATTAAATATTTGTGTACAGTTTTTTGTTCATTATTTTATATGGTGTATTTTGTTGCTTTAATTTTATTTTTATTTGTTTATGTAAAGCGCTTTGAAATTTGAGACAGTTAAAGGCACTATAGAAAATAAAGGTTATATATATATATATATATATATATATATATATATGTACGAATAAAATAATATGTTATATGTAATATATCCAAGCGTGGGAAAGCATGGCAAAGTTAATAGATAAATAAAAATAAAAGATAAATGCAGATTCATTTCAATAAAAATAACCGAATAAATGAAGTCTCACACAAACACCAGTGACCAGATACTCTTTAATTCATTGATATGCTATAAGACAGCTTTATACACATTAAATGCTCTCAATAATACTGGCTCTGGTTCAAACTCTATTCAAAGGGAAGCAGGTGCGAGTTTTCATCGGATCCACATGTGTAGAAAACAGGGAAGTGTGGCGTCACATGACAGCGGATGGCGTCGGCCTGTAGTCCAGTGTCCAGTGCCGAAGAGTGACAGCGAGTGAGTTAATGCTTTAACTAGGAAAGGCAAAACAAATAATAAAAATAAACCA